TTCAATCTTTATTCAAAAATCTAACATTGTTTTGATTTAAACTAAATTCTTCAAAATCTGTGATTCTGTCTTCATTTTTGAAATCTCGCCACATTATCTTAGGTTAGGTTGGTTATCTGAACATAGCAATGCACACAAGAGCTATCTGCTTAAAGGAAGGACGGCTTTCGTGGACTTCCTAAGTGGAAGAAAGTTTGCATTCACATTAGGCATGCAAAAACTGTGAAAATACAGCCAGTCTATTTGCCAAGGTTCGAACATGGGACAAACTATGAGTACTCAGTGGTTGGGCCTGCTTAAAACTCTTTATTTCCTGCATCAATAAAATAGCTCAATTGTGTCTTGACGGGACTTTTAAGCCCCAATTTTAAATTTTAAGGAAAGAAATGAAAAATTTATACATTTTTTGTAAGTTTAATGCGAGATGTTTCTCATCTATAAAGAAATATAATAACTTTTTTTTAAAAAAATAAAGTACAGTAATTTCGCGCGTATAGTCCGCGGACTATCTGTGTTTAAAATGCGAATTTTTGAAGCTGCGGACTATCCACCAGTGCGGATAATACGCTGGTTGTTCACGGTTAAAATTGTTGAAATTTAAAAAACACGCTGTCGTGAACTGCCGATGATCAAATATAAAAAAAGCGTGAGATTCCAAGTATCCTTCGCACTGCTTTAGCACAACTGCCGGGAGGGGGAAAAGTAGTTGATGCGCCAGCTCGGTTTTTTGGTTTTTTCAACATTCAAGGAGCCATAGTAGCAAGTACCTGGAGTACAAAAAAAAAAAAAGCGTGATTCGTTTACATATAGCGTGGTTTGGCAACACCGAGTGAGTGGGGTCGAAGGTCACATTTCATTACCACTTATCACGAGGATAGCATGTTGCACAGTATTTTGTTTTCGTATTTTGTCTTTCATCTTCGCTAACGTTGATGAAACATCGCCGGAGATTTACTGCTGAGAGTTAGTTGAGAAAACTGAAAAAGATGGAAATAGAGAAGCGGGCCGTTATTGGTTTAATCCTAGTATCCGGTACACACAGGATTTGACTACTTTTGGCGACTTTATGACGAGCAGTGAAAACGGGACATATACGATGAGTAGTTAACGGGTCATTCAAATAAAATATATAGTTAAACATAGTATATACTATGTATATAGTATATATACTATGCGTGTATAGTATATATATAGACGTTCTTTGGATCATTTTTGGTGTTGGCGATAATTTTCAAAGTCGCGCCAAGGCTGCACCGTATACTAGGATTTTACTCCGTTATTTTGAAGTGGACGAGAAAGCGGTGAGAAATTTGCACAAACAAAAGGATGTGTTTAAAAAGCATGGGAATATTGCCGTATTAAAAAAACGTAATTTCGGACGTATAGTCCCCGGACTATCCGGTGGTGCGGACTATCTGACAATTTAAAAAATTTTTTTTATATAAAATCGTGTCTGCGGACTATATGTGCGAAATTACGGTAATTTGGGACATAAAGGGTTAAAGTAGGAGTCCGGTTATTAGTCTCTAATTTGCTATTCTGTTTGTAAATATTTAAAATATAGCCACAGGCATAAAAAGTTGAGTTTAAAGTTTTGTTTAATGCATTATTTCATAAACTAGCATCCCACAGTGCAAATCAATTATGGTTACTATTATTCTATTTCTTTAGTGTTTGAGTTTGTGATGTTAGTTTTATTTTACAATGCAAGGTGTCAAAACAATTTTGAAGTTTATATGTTTGGCTTAGTAGAATGAAATTAAGCAGACGTTTTTAAATCTCAATATTAGTCACTCAGATACCATTATTCCAAATGCACTGTATTGCACGATAATGTATCTTCCCACGGGTTCACTTCGTAGAGCTGCTTCTGCCTCAAACTCTTAAAGGAAAGTTCTTTACTGACATGGAAGAGATAAATGGAATGCATCATCTACTCTTACAGCCATACCAAAAAAAGACTTCTAACAGGCTTGTGTTTAAATACCTGTCACATTTGGAATGCATCAGCAGTTTACGGTCTACAACATTTCTATTTTTTAAATACACTCCGATTACTTAATTGTCATACTGTGGATATAAAATAAAACTATGATTACTTGAACTTCAATAAGTTGACATTTTTCATGGAATGGTTCTTAGAACTATGAAGGTAAATTAAACTGAATATTGAAACATTTTATTTAATGGTGACACCAGTTCAAAATAATTTTCAGTTTCAGTTAAGTTCTAATTCAAATTTCAACTTTCAATTTCAATCCAACACGAAATATGATTCGACCATGTAATTCAATTAAAATGAAATTCTAAAAAAGTGGGGGGGGATATTTAAAAAAGACAACTATGATTAAAAAATAATATAAAAAAATATTTGAAGGAATAAATAATGCTCTTTCTCTCGCTGACACACAATAAATAGGAAAGTGAGCCAAGATAAATTTTCAAATTTCTCTGCATTTTTCTCACCAAATTTTACATTTAGTATTTAAGCATAATATAAGTCATAGAATCGAAATATGGAAAAAAAACTGACATGTCTTTAACTTAGAAAAGGCCGATTTTGTGTGAAAACATATATATTAGAACAATGCTATATATAAATCTAATACATATCTCAAGTTCCGCTTTCTAGAAATAAAAATGCAACTTAAATTCGATCAATAGGCTCAACAGAAAGGGAGATATAGAACTGCCTTATTGTGTCTTTTTCTGGGGGGGTGTAACTCTTCCTAAGAGGAAAGTTCTTGTTTGTACCAAGATAATATTTTGCAATATGTATTTACTAGATTTGGGGGGGGGATGAAGAAGTTACCCATTGTTTCCAAGCATGTAAAATAAAGTATTTTTGACAAAAAGCTTAAAACATTCCAATTTTCATTCAAATGTACACGATGAAAGTTTTATGATGGAAATATGATGAAGGATTTACGATGGAAATATAACACCAACAACTACTGACAAAGTATTAGAATAAAAAATGGGAACTGGCTCTAGAAAAATCATTAGGGAAAAAAAAAAAAAAAAAAAAAGGCAAGTGTAGAGAAAACAAGCAATTGTAGAGTTTGATGAGTTTTTTTTTTTTTTTCCGGGGGGGGGGGGGGGGGGTAAATTGCAATTTTTAACAAAGCAAGTTGCTTCTCATTTCGTAAAACACCTGTTTATGGGTTTTTAATTGCGTTTAGCATTGTATGCTATCATTTTAGTTGTTACTCATTTGGAATGGTTCATAAACTGTTAGTCAAAAGTCGTTAATTCAGACACCCATAATCTGGAACGATCTATAATCCGGACCTCAAAGCTACAAACTTTCTGACACATTGACGCATGTGCGTAAGACCTTTACGGCTGCGCATAATACGTTTACGCATGCGCGTTTAATATATAATGAATGGTATAAGCTAAAATTATCTAATTATCTATTTCACTTAATATTGCAGATTGCGTTGTTCCTTAATCTTCGAATTGGATCCGGCTTATTATTTTTTGCAGACTGTTAGAGCAATTTTATAAAAGTAAGCTTGAACTTTTGATTATGTCAAATAGAATTTCCGATGCTGGAGCTCCCAAAGAATCTACAAAGCGAAAGTATGTTTCGATGTCCATCAAACAAAAAGTGGAATTGCTGCAAAAAATGGATAAAGGCATATCCTTTGTTTCTCTAACCATTCCGAAATCTGTTTATCAATTTCACGCTGCTCTGCGGCCGGGGGGGGGGACGCTGCGGCACGCAATGAATTGGAAGTTGATCTGTCAGCACTATCCTTACCTTTAGGGCAGATGTTTTTATTTTATTTGGCTTACAATTCCTTACTAAATGTAGTATTTCATCTCGATGTACTCCGTCTTTGATATGATTTAAATCAAATTCCTCGTCATTATAATTTGCTTCGGATATTGAAGAAAGTGACACAGAGGTTTTTGAAAATGAAAAAAAATTTCGATTGACAAATTAGTCGGTATTCTCGACACAGCAATTATAGGACTTGAACAGCGGAACTTTGTAACTGAACAAGAAATTATGTCTGTTTATAGAATTAAAGAGAAAGTATTATCACATAAAACGAAGCAACTTAAACAACTTACATTGAAAGAAATGTTTAATAAAGTAAACAAATAAATATTAAGCTTTTTTTTTTTTTTTTTTTTTGTAAATTTTGATACCCTTTAGATCATAATTGTTATTTATTTCATAAATTACGGTTTAATATTTTTTTTTTATAATTTCTGCATGCCATCTTACCAGATTTAAACTGATGATCTATAATCCGGAAAAATCGATAATCTGGAATCGCCGAAGTCCCGATGAATCCGGATTAACGACTTTTGACAGTATTTAGTTTTAATCTATCTCTATGAAGTTGATAAACGTTAAAGATGATAGTTAGCCAATACACAAAAGGAACTGTTTTCGTGAATTAGACTTGTAAGAATAGTAGAATAGCAGGGGGGATATAGAGTAAAAAGACATGGCTTAAACTTCAGAAGAAAATATGACATCTTCTACCTCTGTTTCTGAAACTAGTCAATAGTTTAAGGGAAAAAATTCATCAAAACTTCCTAGGTATAGCTCCGCAGAGGCAATATTAGTATGCTATCTTGAAAGAAAAGTTTAATATCAGAGTTATAATTTCATTATATGAAATTACATAACTCACTTACATTGTGAGTTCTCCTTTTTTTATGCTCCTCAAAGTTACAGATATTTAAAATCAAAATATCATAAAATCATTTTAACTTTTATGCAATGGATTAGGAAAATAAAGTATCCTACCAGTAAAAAAGTTTGTGAACCATGCAACATTTAAAATTTCCAGTTAAAGCTTCACATGGATCTTTATAAATGAAAATCTTATTTCTAACTCTCAATGTGCAACTTCCAAAATTATTAATGCATCTTTCTTGGGGATTGGGGGGGGACAGATGTTCTGATAAAGATAGCAGCAAAAATTCAATAAAATATATTTATCAAATAAGGCAATACAATTTGTGGAATATAATACCTTGATTTCATCATTTCTTCTGAAGCGTTTTAACTGCCGTAGTTTCATGTACTCTGATTTGACTTTTTTTTTCCATTCACTTGGAACCTTCTGCACTTCTTTGTTAATCTTTTCATATCTTGGAGTAGATAATCTAGAACTATAACTGCATGATATTATGTAAACAAGAGGAACTAAAAATCAAAACTGCAAGCAAGAGCAAATAAAAATGCTACAATTTCCAAAACTTAATCTAAACATGTAACACGCTCACTTTACATGTAGTATTAATAATAAGTGCAAGATAATTATCATAATACCAAAAAAATTAATAGTTTTTAGCACATTCTCATATGCATTAATAGATGATATGAAATTGATTATTAGTCCTCAGCCATTGTCATTTCATGTATGAAAAATAAACAAATGCTGTTGTACTGGGGCATATATAACATTTAAAAAGATCATTTATAAATTATGATAAAAAGCAAGTGTTCACAGAAATTATCTATTTGATATGCAATAAATTAAATGTATTATATTATATCAATTAAATAAATTATACAAAAAAAAAAAAGATTTAATTATTAAGAAGTATATTTATTATTTTTAAACCACTTAAACAATTAAGACATTACAGATTAATTGAACATGGAATATAAATTAATGAGATGAGGTTTTACTAAATAGCAACATTCTCAGAACACTCTACTTCTGAGATTCTATGGGAGATAAAGGCATTGTACAAGCTGCATGCAAGACAAATACACAGCAACATGATACAGCATAACATAATGATCCAAAAATTTTAGAAAGTGCTAAGAATTCCTGAATGAAAAAAATTACAAAATGTATTTGTATAGAAGAAATAAAACAGTACAGTAAAAATATATTTATGGGTTCCCCTTGGCAAAAATTGGTGATTTTTGGCGATACATGGATACCGAGTTTGTGCAATTCTTCAACTTGTTATTTTGGCTTGTGTAGCAGCGATTTTTGCGCCAAAAATCGCCATATCTAAAACATCGACCAGAGAACTGCACACTCCCTTTACTTTGTCCATGTACACATCAATCTATATTCACTTTAAAAAGTAAAAGGGGCACCCAATTCTACAGCTAGTGCCAAACAAAAAATATATAATCTTCAATAAACTGTATTTTAAATCAAACAATGAAATTACATAAAAAAGGAAATATCGATCTTTGCACTATACAAAGGAAAATCCACTTATTCTGACTAATTCAGTCTGTGGTCACTTAGTCAAAAAATTCCTTAACAGCATCCAAAAACTTCCTAAAAAAAATATCTGAACTAGAATCTGTATACTGGCGTCCCCATATAAATTAAAAAAATAAGAGTAAAAAATGTCCTCCATAGCACCGTTATCATCCAATGTTCAACCATATGCATTTATTTCCTACAAACAGGACACCTTATAATGGCTATTAAGTAAACCTTCATTTACACACCAGTCAATTAATGCTCTTTTCTCCTTTCTTTCTAAATTGTACAGAAACTTCAAATTAATCTTACCATATTCAGCCATTTTACCGTATAAACCACAAAACAAGCAACGTATTTCCTAACCAACACACACCACAAGCCCTTACAAATCTTGGTACTTACGTATTATCGCAACCAGGTTGGCGTGATTTGTAAGTTTGAGTAAAAAAGTATGAATAGAAAGAAAATGTACATTTATTAATTACAGATAATTTTTAATACAGTTTTTTATGTTATTTTGTTTTAAAATATAAAATAGCAATTAAACCCTTCCGGTTTCGAAAGTTGCAGAATTATTTTTTCGGCGGAAATCTTTTGGCTATTGCTTTTAGCACTGATTGAAAACCGTCTTCGCCATTGTAATTATTCCAATCTATAACAGTTTTGTCAGCAATTCCCATCTCTTCTGCACAAAATTTAATTGAGGTTAACTCTTTACACCAACAATAAATGAAGCACCGCTGTCACAAATGAAATTCGGCTACCTTCAAACCAATTTCCGGTTCTCACACCCAAATGTTGATTGCACTCTTCGACGTTACATTTCCAGAAGATTTGCTTTCCAAAATATAGTTTCATTTTATGAGAATTTTTACAAGTACGTTCGTTCGGTATAATTCCATATCCCTGCAACACTTCAACAGCATCTTTTTCACTCGCAGGCAGATCCCAAATACCCATCGTTAAAGTATTTCAGGGCATTCAATCTAACCAGTAAGAAAAATAATTTCTTTACGAAAAACTACGTATAACACGTAGGGTTGTCGTAAGTAGGGTGGCCAAATTTGGCGATTTATGCGAATTTTGGCCTGGTTGCGTTAATACATAAGTACCCAAATCTTTTCAAAATTTACCACAATCACGCAACTGATTACATCATAATAGGGTTTTCATAATATTTAACTACTCAGGTTACTATAAATGGAACAACAAATTGGCGATAATACAAGGGGCACCTTCAATCTACTCTAACCAACTGTACATAACATTAAGGATAAGACATATAATAGTAATGAAATTCTGGCATTTAATATGTAGCAAGAATTCCAGACAGTGTCTTTATATTACAACTTATTTTGTCACCAATTACAAAATTTATTCCAGTAACTAGCAAGAATTTTTGATACTTTATAATTATCTATGCTCCCACTAGAAAGTCATGAAAAAGTATTCCCGAGGCAATGCAGTATATCGCTGAAATATTTGGTAAAAGTATAGTTTAGGGTCCCACTTGGCGATTTTTAGCGGTACATGGATACCGATTTTGTGCAATTCTTTGACTCGTTATTTTGGCTTGCGAAGAGGCGATTTTTGCGGTCCCCCTTGGTGAAACTTGGCGATTTTTGGTGGTACATGGATACCGATTTTGTGCAATTCTTTGACTCGTTATTTTGGCTTGCGAAGCGGCGATTTTTGGCGCAAAAATCGCCGCTACACAAAGCCAAAATAACAAGACAAACAATTGCACAAACTTGGTATCCATATACACACTGATTTATTTTCACTTAAAAAAAAATCCCGAATTGCACAAAAGTGGCATTGCACATTCCTTCGACTTTCTCCATGTACATGTTGACCTATTTTCACTTAAAAAAAATCCCTGAATTGCACAAAAATGGCATTGCGCACTCTTTTAACTTTATCCATGTACACATCGACCTATTTTCACTTTAAAAAAATCCCAGAATTGCACAAACTTGCATTGAGCACTCCCTTTACTTTGCCCATGTATACATCGATATATTTTCACTTAAAAAGTCAAAGGAGCACCAAATTCTACAATATAGGCAAACAAAAAATACATAATCTCAATGAAATACATTTTAAACCAAACAATAAAGTAACATAAAAAAGGAAAAACATGTTATACATTTAAGCACTACCAAAAGCAAATATGCACTTACCATGATTTTCGAGTTCGCTTCGTACACCCAGAGCCACGTAAAAATCAAAATATCAATCATACTCAAATGACTTTTTTCAAAGCAGGTACTCTTTCTGATCGAATGCTTCACATAGTGACCATCTGAACCTTTCTTTCTACAAACCCATTCAAATCCATCTAAACGGTTTTAACACACACCACAAAAACACTTACAAAACATCCCATGATTCAAAATTTCCCAGAATCATGCACCCAATTACGTCACAATAGGGTTTCCATAAAATTCAACTACTCAGGCTACATAAATGAAACAACAACTTGGCGATAAATCAAACAACAACTTTGCCATAATACAAAGGGTACCTTAAAGTCTACTCTACCCAAATATTTATATGGTAACCCATGATGTAATCAAAAAGCATTTACATATGGCAACATGGATAACATACGTTTATTTAAATATACATGGATTTTTACTTTTAAAATTAAACCATCATTTTTCTGATTATTATTGCTTTCTTGCAATTAAGTATATTTGTTTTCCTTGTAATGAATCATAATAGAACTGGGGAGTGTGCTTGTTGATGAAAAAGAAAGCATTGTATTTCTGTAGAAATAATGACATTTTGCCCAACAAGAGAGAATGTCAAAAATCACATTTTATGAAGTTAACTTTCTAGGCAACCAAATTTTATGAAAATGCAACATTAAAAATTATAAGCAAAGTGTTAGAATGTGGGTTAAAAATTAGTTTGAAGACAGCAGCATCTCATTTATAATAGCTATTCCTTTATTTATTGTTGGCTGGTGTATAATGCCAAAGTTGTACATGATGGCCCAAGTTTGAGCAATTCTCCAGTTTTTTTTTTTTTTTTTTTTTAAACTGAAAACAGATCGCTGTCGGTAGAATATCAGCACATGGCCCCCCCCAAAAAAAACTAAAGAATGATTTTTTGAGAAAGATACCATTGTTTGTTTCTTTTTTATTGATTTTTATTTTATTAAGTCATCGCTCTTTTATGAAATTCATAGTGTGCCACTGTTTTAAAAATTCGGAATGAATTCCAGCCTTTTAAGTAAGGGTTGTAGATAATCAAAAAGTTTCAAATTTATAAATTATAAAGCAAATTACAAATTTATATATATAAATGCATCAGGATAAAATAATAAGCCATATATATATATATATATATATGAAATGACACCTGCCATTTATGTAGGCAGTAACTTGTCAAACATTATACAAATATATTTTCGTTGATGATAACTTGTGAATAAATAACTGAATTCTACTGCCTTCTATTAACTTCATATTTAAAATTATTTTATTTTCTGCTTAAAAATTACTTTAATTTTATAAAGGTTTGCCAAATAATGAAACTAAAAACTATTTGCCTTTTTCAAAATTGGATAAATAACCAAGGAATCACTATATTTTACTTAGTACTAATTTCCTTACAATGAAACTATGGTTGATCTTTACATTATGGTGATTTTTGGCGAAAATTTGGCGACTAACTCTCCTACAGCAACCCTCTATTTTTTTTTCCCCGCCGCTATTTTGTCTTCACAAAGTAAAGACATGTTTCTTTTCTTTTTATCTACTGAACACTTCTTCCAACAATCTACTAGCCGAATTACACTTATGCTAGAAATTTTATCTAACAAAACTGCTTAATCATGACAAATATTCACTGCAAAATTGGGAAAAAGTGCACAATACCATACTCCTTACACATTTTTCAAAAAAACACATACACATAAACCATGTACACGTCGACTTATTTTTACTTAAAATAACATCCCAGAATTACACAAAAATGGCATTGCGCACACTCTTCACTATATCCATGTACACTGCTTTTTTCTCATAAATTAGAAAAATTTCACGAAAATACATGACAATTTTCTGAATCTTTAAACCCGGTAAAAAGAACATATATGAAATTACCTGATCGCGAAAAAGTATATACCCTTTCCAAATATGAACATTTCCACATATAAAATAAATAAAATATCCAAAAACTTTTACCTCTAAATTATCTATTATATTATAAATGTCACCAACGAATTCATACCGCAAACATTACAAATACTTAGTGTCAAATATTTAAATTATTTCCATGCACGTTTACTTCAACTAAAAACATATACAAAATTCCTACAAACATAAAATTCACAAAATAACTATCATTTAATTAAAATATAATTAAATTCAAAAACACTACTTAAAATATAAATAAGCACATACATTAAATTAATAAAAATTAGCTTACAATCCTAATTACTTTAAACTAAATCATTGCTAATAACAATTTTCCCAATAATACCAAATTACTTTACTTCCACCTTACATTTAGAACAATGCATAAAAATAATATCCTCAAATAATTAAAAATACTAACTTACCTAATCTTCTTCAGAATCTTGATTACGTGTCCGATAAACTTTTCTTTAGTTACGGCCATGGGATCCAAAAATTCATGAACACTGTTTCACACAACACAGAATAAACCAAATACAAAATTTCCAGATTTTTTTCCCGATTTCCCCCCTTTTCCGATTAAAGAACCGTAATTCGTCCATTAATATCACATGACATATCCCATGATCTCTCATTTCCCTCACACAAAATAATGCGTAATCGGAACTGAGTACTGCTCACATTATTACCAAAGTCCCAGGTAGTAACCTTTATCGCCTCCAAAATGTCGCCAAACTACCAGTTACCATATTCTAAAGATCAGCCGAAACTATATATCATGCATAAAAGGATACTACGAAAATGATCTACACTTTGCACTGCAGAGATTATATATAGTTAGAACAGGAAATATATTTTTTTGGCCAAGTTATCATCAATGGCAATGTGGAAATGACAAATATCAGTGCATAAGTACCAAACTACCAAATTTAAATCATTACAAATCATAACACACTAAATTTGTATAAAGCTTTACTTAAGAACTAAATAATATAAAATGTTTAAAGTAATTTTTTTCTCCCTTAGGTTTGCCAGGCAATCATATTAATTGATATGCTAGAGACCAGTCTGGTTTGAGGGGAACGTGGAAACTGAAATTTATATACAGTCAAAAGTCGTTAATTCGGACACCCATAATTCGGAATGATCTATAATCCGGACCTCAAAACTAAAAACTTTCTGCGCATGCGCCGCATTGACACATGCGCATAGGCGTTTACGCGTGCGCGTAAGACATTTTACGACTGCGCATATGAGTGTGCGCAAGTGCAGAATACGTTTTCGCGTGCGCGTTTTATATATAATGGACGTATAAGCTAAAATTATCTAATTATCTATTTCAGTTAATGTTGATGATTGCGTTGCTCCTTAATTTTCGAATTGGATCCGGCTTATTATTTTTTGAGGACTCTAAGAGCAATTTTATAAAAGTAAGCTTAAACTTTCGATTATATCAAATAGAATTTCCGATATATATTTGTTAATATGTAAAGGATCTAAAGCGAAAGTATGTTTTGAAATCCGAAATCTGTTTATCAATTTCACGCTGCTCGGCGGGGGGATCGCCGCGGCTGGCGCATAATTAATTGGAAGTTTTTCTGTCAGCACTATCCTTATCTTCAGCGCAGATGTTTTTATTTTATTTGGCTTATAATTCCTTACCAAATGTAGTATTTCATCTCGATATGCTCCGTCTTTGATATGATTTAAAACAAGTTCCTCGTCATTATAATTCGCTTTCGATAGCGAAGAAAGTGACAGAGGTTATTGAAAATGAAAAAATTTCGATTGACAAATTAGTCGGTGTTCTAGACACAGCAATTATAGGACTTGAAAAGCGGAACTTTGTAACTGAACAAGAAATTATGTCTGTTTAATAGAATTAAAGAGAAAGTATTATCACATGAAACGAAGCAAAACTTAAACAACTTACATTGAAAGAAATGCTTAATAAAGTAAACAAATAAATATTAAGCTTTTTCTTTTTGCAAATTTTGATACCCTTTAGATCATAATTGCTCTTTATTTCATAAATTACGGTTTCATATTTTTAATTTTAGAATTTCTGCATGCCATCTTACGAGATTTAAACTGATGATCTGTAATCCGGAAAAATCGATAATCCGGAATCGCCGAAGTCCCTATGAAGTCCCTGTACAAAAAAATTTTCGGAACTACTCTGATATGCGCCCTCAAGTCGCAAATTTCTCGCCAACTATTTTTGGCGAGAAACGTTACGCTGCCTTATTACTATCTAAAACTTTTGTTTACATTTCGAACTTTAAGCCTAAAATGTGTCCAAAAACACGGTTTTCGCACATGCAAAAACTACACGTTTTGAACACACGATTTAAGCTAAAAATCCGAAGCAAAAACAAAAAAATTTAGATAGCAAAAACGTAAAGTTTCTAACCAAAAATATTTGACAAGAATCCATGTACACAGCAACATGTTTTAACTTAAACATCTACGAATGGCACACTGTAGGCAACGAACGAATCTACGAACTACGCACACCTCGCTTTAATAAATTAACATAACAACAATAAATTTCAAAGAATAACATGTACACAGAGTTCTGTTTCAACTTTAAAAAACATCTACGAATTGCACAATCTACACTAAAAACAAATCAAGAATATAAACTAAAATAAATTTCACACAATTCAAAAAATAACAATAAAAACGGAAATTCATACCAAAAACAATGAATATAACATTCTACAAAATAAAAACAATAAAATAAAATGCACTTACCATAATGAAAGCTTCTTTTAAAAGCAGAAATATCTTTCCCCCCTATCTTCTAAGATACAGAGCATGCAAAGTCCAAAATACATTCGTTAACAAAATTTCGCCAGTCACACAACGTCTGTGAAGAAAACTTCCACGTTTTTGCTATATCACATGCCTTCCTACGATTCAAAATTTTGAAAGTAACAATAAAAACTTCCTCCAACGTTAACTTGCTACAATACACTAACTACAACAACTAACTACAACAATTTTACTGCAAACCCTCACAAGTCTATCAGAAACATCATTTTTCGTCCGAGTTCCCATATCAGCTCCGCATTTTGGACACGTCAAACTCCGTTTTAAAAGTCCCGACTCCCACAGAAATTCTAAAAATACACTACGATCTCCATAAATACATCCGTGAACAAAAGACTCGTTAACAACTCCAACATCGTACCTTTTCATACTAAATTTACTCTGCACATAATCTAAAATACGCAGCTGAAACCTTCCCACCACGTCTGTCTTTCATCGCAACACGAACCAACTAGCAATTAAGAAACTACTCCACCAAAAGACTTTTCAACGTCGACATGGTTGCCACACAACACGCAATCGCGCCAAAAACCAGCGCAAAACACATATCGTCACATTTGGTGAAATTAGGGCATTTATCAGAGTTGTACCAAATTTTCATTTATTTAATGTCCTGACTAAACTGATGCGGTTAAGCTTTGGATTATGGTAACTTGGCGATTTTTTGGCGACCAACCCTACTACAGCAACCTGCTAGTTTTTTTTTTTTTTTTTTTTGACGCCATTTTGTTTTCACGAAGTAAAGGCATTTTTTTTTTTAACTCAACTTTTTTTTTTCAACAATCTGCTAGCCGAATTGCACTTATGCTAGAACTTTTATGAAACAAAAGTGCTTAATCACGACGAAGATTAGGGGCGAAATTGGGAGAAAGTGCAGAATCGCCCACTGCTTGTCGCGTTTTTAAGAATTGCACATACACGGTATTATCCATGTACACGTCGACCTATTTTCACTTAAAAAAACATCCCAGAATTGCACAAAAATGGCATTGCGCACACTCTTGACTATATCCATGTACACTGCTAAAGTCTTAGCTAGTAACCTTTATTGCCTTACTAAAATGTCGCTAAACTACCTGTTACCATATTCCAAAGATTAGCCACTGATGCTAATAAATGGTGCCATGATGGAAGAAATATGTCAAGCACATAGCTTTTAACATTGAAAAATGGTTAATACATATAATTTCCCCGCATATATATATATATATTGCCTGCTTGTTAATTATCACAGGGAATGAGGGCACTTGCATTCTGATCCTCTTCCATGCAAGCTTACTATATAAAAAGAAAAAATTCTGAATTGTGCTCAGATGCCAATTTAAAAAACTTGAGTGCCTTATATAAAATAGGAATGGGAGAGTGGTTAACAATCTTTTAATTATTTAAATGTAAATGAAAAATGATTGTTTTATATTATTAAAAAAATGTATGCAGATAAAAATAATTTTAAAACAGACAAAAAAAAAAAAAAAAAAAAAAAGAAAGAAAGAAAGAAAGAAAAGAAGTAATTTTCTTTTGCTATTTTATTATACTTACTTCATCATCTTGGTACTGAAATTTCAAACTGCAAACATAAACTTTAAAACCCTGGCAAGAAATTAAAATCATGTCAAAATTCAGGCAATGTCATTTAAGCAGCAAAATCTAATTATACTTAGTTATAATGAGATCACAGGAAAGTTGAGAAAGTTAACATGAATTGAATTTTAATACATTTCCATATGCAAATTAACAAATTATAAATACAATAAATACTGATTATAATTAGGAATTTTAGCAATCATCTAACACACAGTATAATCATGTTCACCTGTACATAGTTAAAAAAAAAAAAGAAAGTATATATAGTTTTGCTTTTCTTCTTTCAGAACACATATTCTTTATTCATTTCAAGTTTTACTGAAAATAACAGCTTTTGGACAGTATTACACAAACTATTAAAAATACAGATTGCTTTTAAAATATCGGGTTGGAGGGAAAGTTCTGTCGTATTTTAAATAGACAGGTGATTTTTCTTGTAAATAAAAAAAAAACATCTGGCTAGTGAGTCAATCGGATTTTTTTTTTTTTAGCTCCTGTATAATATAAAAGGTGCCCTTTTTTACCGTTCATAATTTACTTGTAATATTTAAAGGGAAAAACATGTTGCATGTAAAAATTTATGTGTGGTATTTGGAAAAGATATTGTAAATGTTCGTACTTGTCAAAGATGGTTTAGCAAATTTCGTTCCGGGGACCTGAGCCTCAAAGAAAGTGTTCGATCTGGACGACCATCCAAGATCGATAATGATGTTTTGCGATCCATGTTGGAAAATAATCCACATTTAACAAGTCGAGAAATTGCAGAAGAGTTTGGCATTCATCATACAACTGTTGGAGATCACATTAAATCTCTTTTGTTTGTGTTAAAGCAAAGTGTTTGGGTTCCACATGAATTAACGGAAAAGAATTTGTCTGATCATGTAAGAATATGTTCATCACATCTGATTAGACACAATGTGGAGCCGTTTTTGGACAGGCTGGTTACTGGAGATGAAAAGTGGATTCTTTACGAGAATATAAAAAAAACAATCTTACTGCAAACCAGGTACATCATCAGCAAACAGTTCCAAAACCAAGTATCCATCAACAAAAAGTACTGCTTTGTTTGTGGTGGGACAGGAAAGGTCCAGTGTATTACGAGTTGCTGAAACAGGGAAAAAACATCAACGCGGATCTGTACTGCAATCAGCTGGATAAATTGAATGCAGCTATCAAAGAAAAAAGGCCAGCATTAGCGTCCAGAAAAGGAATAGTGTTCCATCCCGATAATGCTCGCCCGCATACTGCAGTGGTGACACTACAAAAACTGAATGCGTTAGGATGGGAAATCCTTAGTCACCCCCCGTATTCACCTGACATTGCACCCTCTGATTATTACCTGTTCAGATCTCTGCAAAATTATCTAACGGGAAAAAAATTCAAGTCTTTTGAAAGTGTTTCTAAGGCAGTTGCTGACTATTTTAACTCCATGGATGAGAACTTTTACAAAACAGGAATTTACAGGTTACATGGAAGATGGCAACAGGTTGTAACAAATAACGGAGCATATATAATTGATTAATATTAAACACATATTTTTATAAATGAATTTAAATATTTTCTTTAAAATACGGCAGAACTTTCCCTCCAATCCAATAGTACCACCTAACACTGGATTTTCTCCATCATAAACAAACATGATGAAAACAATTTTCCCTAAAACAGCATCTGCGCCAATCTTATTTTTCCATCAAGAAAACATTTTATCAGCAGCTTATTTTAACTGCGATAAAATTCTTTTAAACATAAAAACCAAATGGGCTGCCTACATGGGCTAAAAGCATTTTGACAACACAGCAAATGGGATGGTCTGTTTGGCAGCAATGTTGCCCCTTACACCATTGTTATGATTGCAAAAAAATGTTGGTCCCACAAAGTATCCTCACCCAACAGGCTGATCTCTTTGTCACATGATTAAAAAAAGCAATCAAATAATTAACACTCCTTATTTACACATAAAGAATACTGATGTCGTTGCAAAAGTTTTGTTATTTATAAAAACATTAGAATTTATACATCTGCATTATTTTAATGAGATACACTATTATATCTATACAGAGTTTTGTAAACAACCCCCTTTCCCACTTTTTTTTTCATTAAAATGTTTTCATTTCCTGAAGCATTCATCTATTTCAATCAAACCTGATTTATGATTTAAAAAACTAAAGTTTACAAACTTTCCAAAGGAACAGTGCATAACAGTATTACATTTTTCAACCATAAAAATGGGTACTAATATAAGCGAAATAAATTGGATCTAACAATGTTATATGTTTGGAAAAGTGTCAAATATTACTTAATGCTATACATCAACTGTAAATTACTCACTCAAAAAATTATTCTTATGACTTTAATAAATTTTTTAGTCTCACTGCAAATCCCAGAAATATTCCATATGTTTAAACTAAAATCATAATAAGAATATAAATTCGTGTGTTTTGGTGAATTTAATCATCAACATACACACAGTAAAAACTTCCCAGCACCTAAATTTGATTTAAAAAGCTTTAATTATTGCAGAAATAAATGTATAATGAATCCACCTTATACAATGTGATTTAAGCAGACTTTATTGAAAAAATCCCTGCAATCCCACTGCACCTTATAAGAATCACCCCAAAAGTCAATTTAACTATCTGAACAGGACTTCGAATTCATCATTACATTTTAATATTTACCTTCTTCAGTACATTTACGATGTAACTTCAGAAAAGACAAATATTACTTAATTATATACTAAAAAGACAAATATTACTTAATTATATACTAAAAAGACAAATATTACAACGTAAAATGATTATGATTCTACACACTTTTAAAATACTAGTTTAGGTAGTTACAAATAAGAAATTTTCTTTTTATAGATGAATTATACTCTTGCATTAATTTTTTTTAATCTATTCAAAATCCACAAGTCTAGAAATATATACAAAATTACTAAAATCAGGTATAAACACACAACAATCAAACTAACCAACACAAAAACTCATTGTTTAATATTTAAAATTACCGTCGAGAGAGTTGAACACTACTACTCCTGTACTATCAATCCAATAAAAGCATTTTACATATATATTGCCAGAAAGAAATGACTATTTAGTTTCAAGCTTCACAACTGCAGAAAAATCTAGCTATGATTTTTTTCTGTATATAAATTTTCAAAGGTACTTATTTGCAGAATTAATTAGGCAAAGTGGAAAAAAAAAAAAAAAAAAAAGAGTATGAGACATCAAATCTGGCAATATTTTCTGGTTTCTGATTTGTCGTATGTTGTTTACATTAATTTGGTTTTGTTTTTACCGCGCAAAATTATGATCGAAGGTATTTTAATGACTGTAACGTGCTGAATAGTCTTTTTGCATTTTCATACATGCTGCATTAATTTAAAATTAGATAATTAATTTACTTTATTTTATTTAGATATTTTGTTTTTAAAAGTATTTCCATTGATTGATGTTAAGAGTGTTTTATGGTCATAAAATTAATGATTAATGTTCCGAATTAAACATGCTCTTAAAACAAAATGTGTTCATCAGAACTTTAAATTATGTTTTTATATTTTCTATAAGCCAATAAATTTATTTAAATATTTTGTATTTTCTTATATTAATCTTCTTAAATATGGATCTTAGTATCTCACATAACAGTGTTTATTATTTGAAAGAGTTACTAGCAAGATGCTAAGATATTTCGTTAAATAATCTACAATAAATTCTAGATAAGCTATACACTAAACTTTAATTCTAGAAAAAAAAACAGAATTGAAGTCATCTATGCGTCACTGCTTGAAGCAGTTCTTTCGACAATGAAATCTTACAACATAAAATCAAATAAAGTCAGACAAATAAGCGCGTGTGACTTAATATTTTATTTATAATAAAACTTGGTATGAAAAGCGAACCATTTATTTTACTACATAGTAAAACCGTGAGTTAAAAAAAAATCTTAATGTATAATCTATCTTGGTAAAATCCTAGTATACGGTGCAGCCTTGGCGCGACTTATTATCGCCAACAACAAAAATGATCCTAAAAACGTCTATATATATATACACACATAGTCTATATACTATGTTTAACTGTACATTTTCTTTGAATGACCCGTTAACTACTCATCGTATATGTCCCGTCTTTACTGCTCATCATAAAGACCTCTATCTTTTATTCAGTGTGATTAAATATCAGGTATCTCTAATTATTAAAATAAAAAAATAATAAAAGTATTTCATGTCATTTATTTTACTAGCTAACCACTTTTGTTGAATAAATCAGTTGTAAATAACTGAATTAGTAAGTGTTAACACAAATATTCACATAAGGAATCAATGTTATTTTTTCATTTCTTGGAAAAACATGTTAATTTTAATATTTGGATATAAATATATATGATGTCCATAAATATTTGCTTATATCACAAGATATAATTCATTCATGATGTGAATGAGTTCTTTAAATCGTTGGGTAAAGTGCAGAATCGCCCACTTATTTGTTTGGCACTTTTAAAAGAGTAAGAAGAATTGGATTTTTGTCAATTTTTGGTGAATCTTTGGATTATGGTAACTTGGCGATTTTTTGGCGACCAACCCTGCTACTGCTACGAAGTAAAGGCATTTTTTTTTATTATTATTAACTCAACATTTTTTCCAACAATCTGCTAGACAAATTACGCTTATGCTAGAACTTTTATGGAACAAAAGTGCTTAATTATGATGAAGATTAGGTGCAAAATTGGAAGAAAGTGCAGAATCGCCCACTGCTTGCTGCGTTTTTAAGAATTGCACATATACTGTATCTATGTACACGTTGACCTATTTTCACTTAAAAAAAATCCCAGAATTGCACAAAAATGGCACTGCGCACACTCTTGCCTTTATCCATGTATACATCAACCTATTTTCACTTAAAAAGTCAAAGAAAATTGACAAAAATCCAATTCTTCTTACTCTTGTAAAAAGCGCCAAACAAATAAGTGGGTGATTCTGCACTTTAACAGCAACATTGTTTCTAAGTGCTTATTAGCTAAAATCCCGATTGGAATTTTAGCAAAATGTCACATTACATGTCTCATGATCTCTCATTTCTCTGAGACAAAATAATCTGTGATTCGAACTGTGTACTTCTCAGATTATTGCTAAAGTACTAGCTAGTAAACTTTATTGCCTTACCAAAATGTCGCCAAACTACCTGTTACCATATTCCAAAGATTAGTCCAATTTTCTTTTACTTTTTAAGCGAAAATAGGTCGATGTGTACATGGATATAGTCAAGGGGATGCGCAATGCCATTTTTGTGCAATTCTGGGATTTTTCTTTTAAGTGAAAATAGGTCGATGTGCACATGGATACCGAGTATATGCAAGTCTTAAATGTACGCCAAGCATTGGGTGATTCTGCACTTTCCCCAAATTATTCATTATTTGTCTTAATTTGTTTGAGATAAGTTGTATAAAATTTATTGATTAATTCAGCGACTCTATTAATGACATACCATGAATAAAACTGCCAAAATAATCAATGTAATAAATAACAAAATAGATACTAAATATTTTGGCTTCCACCTAATCTTTTTGTATTATTTGAAATCAGGTTTATTAGTTCTTGACTGCTCAGTACAGTGGCTGCTTTAAGAAGGAAGTAGCATTTCATTCCCCTTTCCCTGCAGCTTTACCATCTTGTTCATTAAATTATTATTTGATTATTATTTTAGTTATTGTCATTTCATATGTAAATATTTAGATTGAATTATGTCAAGTATTGCCAGTAAAAAAATAAATTGCAAAATTTTATATACAGTTAATCATTCTTGAATAATAACTCAAATTTTTAAATGTTCTGGTATTATAATGGATCTTTTATATTACAGAACAACATGCACCAAATAATTTTTCTTTATATAAGTAGTAGACTGTGGTAACTTTATTTGATTCTTATTTGTCTGAATTTTTCTGGAAGAGAAAAACCTGTTTTAATAGGCCTTAGCCAATATTATTGCTTATTCATTTTTAAATTAAATATTTCATTTGTACTTTTTATAATAGTATTTTTGTTTTCATATATGTTTTATATATCTCTGAAATCTTATGTATTGTATATCTTTCTAAAAGATATATTTTTTCTTTAAAAAATATTATCAACATATTGTCTTAGCATGGAAAAAAGCCATTATATCTGCTTCCTGAGTGTTTTTTGACTTATTTGATGCTTGTTTTATTACTACCGAAAAGCTTTATTCATACTAAAGTTACTAGTTGGTTGGTGTATTTAAACAGATCTTTCTGTAGATTTCTTGAAAAATGGTAAAATAGAAAGTAACTTGAATCTTCTTTTTTTAAAAAAATTGGAGAGAGATGGTATGAAAGCTATGATTGACTAATGTATAAAAGCTGATTCAGTTGCTAATGTGCAATGTATTTTTACAATGTGAACTGGTTAGAAGAGTATATTATTACCATCTCTGTATAAGTGTTCAAAAAAAATTTTGGGGTGAGGGAGGACATTAAGTCTTTTTTAAATAAATTTTAGCAACTGAAGAAATCCAATTATTTTAACTTATTTTAACATGACTATTTTAAAATTTATATGAATACTGTAATGAATTCTGTGTAATTATTGTGATATTATTTTATTTTATTCTACAGTTTTTGTCATGTAATGTAAAACAGAAAAAATTCAGAGAATCCAAGTCACAAATTCCACAAAGTTTCTTTCATAAAGCATATTTTCTTTGTAATAGAAAAACTAATTATATTCACCTTTGAAAACAGAGATTCTAATGAGTTTGTGATTTTATTAATTGGTGGAAAACTTTGGCTATCTTTATAGCATATAGATTATTGTTCTGTTCCAGGGCTAAATTTCTAAAATTAGAATTGCTGGAGCCCTATGGAACACCGTCAGCAAAGAGGAATAAGAGTAAATAAATAAATAAAATGATATTAAACTCATTAATAATTTTAAAATTAAATGGTTAATTATTATCAAATTAATTAATAAGCTATTTAATCAATGTTTATAAATTTTTATATAATTAATTACTTATAATTTATTAAACTAATTAATGATTAAAGCAATTAAATAATTAAAATCAAAGTAAATGTAAAGGGATAAATAAAATTTAATAAGCAACTTTTTATATAATTTTATTGCTAAAAATAAAATTTTCGAGATAAAATTTCTGCTGAAATCGTTATTCAGTTACATAGGAGAAGTGCCGCAGCCTTCTTATTTAGGGCTCCAGTGTGCTCCTGCTAGAATTATGATTTATTACAAAAATTAAGAAGCATCTAAGTCGGCCCAATTTTAGCTCTGATCGTAGGGGGGGGGGAGTTCTTTTATCAAAAAATTAAATATACTTAAAGAACAGCTGATGAAAATTCAGATAATGCTAAAAACAGAGTGAGGATATGAGTGGATGGAAACATAAAATTAGGGGAATCTTGATGAGAGAGAACATTCTGTTTGACCGCAGCTCTCTGCTGATATAATTATAGCCATCAAGCAGATGTGTCTCAGGAGTAAAATGAGTCCTGAATCTGACTCCTAAGGATGAATGTAAAGTTGTGGTTACACTTCCGCCCCCCTCCCGGCATTTGGTTGTATTAGTGGATACTGTCGGAAGACAATGTATAGGACGGACTTGAGCAGTTTATCTCGGTATTTCACTCTTATTGTATTCACTGTCACTTAATGCACATTTAAGAACACAAATTTTCCTTCCTGAGAGGATAACTTACTGTAACCATCGATAACAATACACTAGATACGATGGGGTGGCGAGAAATTTACGTATTCCTAAACAAACTCCCTCAAATTTATTGCCCTTCTCAAAGGGAAAGGTTTCCGCATGTCAGTGAAGGTACTTTACTTGAACGTCTCGTGTTCTCATGAGTTCGTATTTCTAGGTAAATAGAGTATTACAAGGTCTACTTATTGTGAAACTAAAACATTAGGAATTCTAAATTTTTTCCCCTTGAAATTGTGGCTCAGTTTTATAAAAAGAAGTACCGGAGCTCATATTATTTAGGGCTCTGGTGCGCTCCAGCTAGAATTGTAATTTATCTTAAAAATTGAGAAGTACTGTTCTGTTCATAAATAATAATAAAATAAAGCATCTTATAAGGAAAAGGACATGTGAGAAAATATAAAAATATATGTGGAAGATATTTATAAAAATGTTTTCAGTTGCTGAATACTGTTCAGCCATGCCTTCAAAATGTAAAACATGTAAAATCACATGTATTCAGTCACATATGTGGTCTACAAATGAATGAACTGGCTGTTGCCATGTATGCATTCAAACATAAGGTAAAAACATAGGTGTTTTATGAAATTTTGAAACGGGGATTGCAAATAATAGAAAGAGCCAAAAATTTTTAAAGTGAAATATCCATAAACTTACCCAAAATAATTCCAAGAATACCAAATAATTTGCTGCAGGGCAATTTCCAATTTATTACCTTTTTAGAGATTTTTCATAATTAAGTCTTTTTAGATTTTCTTAGGGTGAAAGAATATTGCTGTCCTCTTAATGCTGTGAAATTTTACAAAATTTATAGCAGTAATATTTATTGAGTTCTTTTCTGTTTATATTTAAACATATATATTTCTGTGGTGTAATATAATAAAAAAAAATGCTCCATTAAGAAACTGTTAGTTAACCAGTTAATGGCATTCTTTTTTATTAGGTTCTTTTAACTGGAGATCCTATCTTTCAAGACCAAATTTTGTTGCAGCCCCAGTTTCATGTTTTAATCATGTAAGATTTACTTTTTACTTTTATTTTATTTATTTATATATATATATATTATTTTTGTGGATGATATTTATTGTTTTTAACATTTAATTTGTTTTTCAAGATCTAAAGTTACTTTTGGTATTTGTATATTAGCAAGGATATAAGCAAATTCCTTAATATATACAATAGACCTTAGACTATGAACAAATTACATGGACAAAAGAACATCTCTGATTGTAAATGGTGTCTTGAGTTACAAACACTTGTCAGCAATAAATGACCTTAACAATGTTTTGAGGTAACCTCTGACACAAAGTTAACAATCAGGGACTTCAAGAAACAACAATTTAATATTTCTCATTTCTTAACTCCCATTAGCAAAACTAAGTAATTTATAAGACCATGAATTCAGCGTGGAGGAAATTATAGCCAGACTGTATTGAAGGCAGAGCTTTTGAGATCTTTGGTACTAAGTATTTTTTTTTATATATGATAGCATATCTCTGGGCAAAATCATGGGATTTGAAATTAGCAATGAAGATGTGGCAGAGTTATTAGGGGACTATAAAAGTGAGCTCAACAATAAAGAATTGGAAAAACTTTAGAAGCAACAGCAAATGTCAGTTGTGGAATACAAAGAAACTTCAGAAGAAGGGAAAACAGATGAACCTAATTCTTTGATCTGTTGCAATTAAATTTTATATTTGTGATTTTATTTCTCATTATATTTTTGCAACCTGTGTGGCAATGGTTTCAACAGTTATGACTACAGTTACCATGTATATTTTTTACCATAATTTTGGGCTTAATAAATATATATATTAATACAAATGAATCTCTGTCTTTTTGTCTCCATTTGTAATGTTAGATGCTAACAGGTTATGTGTTCAGGATGTTCTAACTGCAAAGAAAAAAAAAAAATAGGAGCAAAGCAGAGATAAAAGTTAACGAGATTTTGTAAGCCTAACACGGCAGTTCTTAAGTAAGTTGGCAAATTAGTTCGCAAAAATTAAAGTTGCAAAGATTATCAGTTAAGCCATTATGCAAAAAAAAATTATTGGCCTATTAAGAAATACCGAATTAATTTCACATTAAATTATCATGAAGATGCTGTAGAAGTCATGGAAGGAAAATTAAAAAAGCCTATGGTGCCTGATCAAGCCACGGCTGAAAAGATTCAAAAGAAATACAGAGATGACATGAAGGTGTGTAATAAACCCAATAATTACTCTATGATGGTTCTTACGAACTCCATGACTGAAGATACTTTACAAAATGAAGGAGATTTGACAGCACAAGAGAAATTTGGCTCGAACTTCACAAAATATTCGAAGGTTCATCTGTTGACCAAGTTTACAACATATGCTTATAGTTTTCCAAATTCATTTGATCAACTGATGATGTGGCAGCTCATTAATTAAAATTGAAAAATTCATAGAATGAGCTGAACAATGGACTTCAAAATAAGGAAGAAAACACACTTCCAGAAATGCTGCTAATTTGTAAAATATTGGATACTGTTCCTCCCAACTATTGTACTCGTACTTTCAAATCAAGTTGGTTACTTCTTAGTGATGAAAAGAGAACTCTAGACAAATTAACTACACAACAGTGCACCCATGAAAGAGAGTTAAGGAAAGATCCAAATTTTGTACAAACTTTAAATCAGGAAGCATTGATAGCAAATTCGAAATTTAAGTAGAAATCAGCCCCTAACAAGAAAAACAATGGCAATTATTGCCACCAGAGAGGACACTGGGTCGGAACATGCAAGAAGTGGATAGCTGATGGAAAACCCAGTCTACATACAAAGTCAAACAAAAGAGGTCTGAATAATGTTGTTGCAAATATGACACTCCTAGCTGTAGATGAGACAATATTTTCTGCTGAAACAAATTCTGATGATTGCTTTATTGCCCGTGGGCCTCAAAACATGTCAGTAACAGTCACTACTTTATAGATTTTGAAAAATTTGAGCTTCCCCATAGCATCACTGTAGCAAATGGAAAGTCATTACCAGCAGTTAGAAAAGACACTATCAAGATAATGAGCATTGTAAATGGGATGAATCAAATCAAAAATCTTGAAAATGTTTAATATGTTCCAGAAATAAATAAAAATCTATTTCCCGTGTTAGCAACAACCTTAGTTTCTGAAATTCACGCTGACATAAATGTGACCAAAAATAATGAAGACATTTCATTTTTATTATTATTGAATTATTATTAAGTTGCTTTATTTTCTTTTGTAGGAGTATTAGCATAGTTTAATTATTCGTGGTGTATTTTTATTATAATAGTATTTGTGTTTTATATTTTTTCTTTCCTCTCTCCAGACCTAGATATTATGTTTTTATTATCTCCCTGTACTATGAGCTATTTATTTACATCAGCAAGCCTCATGGAACACGAGGATTTCTGTATTTTTTTTTTTTTTTAACTTAAACAAATATGCTTGTAATACATATATATGTGATCCCTTCTTAAAAATGAGAATCATCTAAGTTAATACAAAATATGTGTTTTTTGATGTTCAAATATATAATTATTATTTAATTATTTTTTAATTTAATTTTATTATTTTGTGTGCTTAAGTTTTACATAATATCTTATATCTTAACTGTGTAGGTAGCACTGTCTCGTTGTTGGGATAGCATAACAGCTGGCATTTTAGTTGAAGTTAGAAGTCCAGATTGCACTACATGCTGCGCATCTACTCCATGTTGTTATTGGATAGCTGCTGTAATTAAAGTATCTGGTAATGCTAAATTAGTTCATTCTTTTTTTCTTTTATGATTTTATTGTAATTTTGTGTTAGAGGTTAGTAGCAACATTTGATTGAGAAAGCCTATTTCTTTCAGCAATAGTACTTAAATATTACTCCTTGCAATTATAATGTTTGTGTCATCTTTTGTTGTTATGGCATATGTGTATTTCAACTTTATAATTATATAAAATATCACCTGCATTGTATTTAAGGATATTAATGTGACTTAAAGCATAAATAATAAGTATGGTTATGATATTAAAATGATGAGATATTTTTATATTGGTAAATTGAACATGATATTAACTGGGCTTCAATATTAACAACTTTAAAGGCTAATTGAAAAAATATGCAAGTTTGATTAGCACAAGAAGCATTTGACTTCTTATGCATTGGCATTGATTAGCATTTGTCTGATGTGGTCATTATCATGGATATTTAATATAAAGTTATTTTTAGGAAAATTAAGTATAACTTTTAATTATCTGCAATTAAAAAATTAATCGTCTGTTTAGTTTTATCTGAAAACTATTTTACTTCAAAATGAAGCTGTTAGATGAAATGAAGCTGTTAATTTTAGAATGTCTGATTGTTTAGCCTTTATAACAGCAATGAAAGGTATTAAAGACGTAACTTTACATTTTTCTAATCGTGTTTTAAAAGAACCAGTAATTTTTATGTTAATTCTTTTGTATTCTTTCTGTTTCTTCACCTGAATGCAAATTAGATAGAATTTAAAAGTAATGCAATTGTTTTATTATTGTGCATTGGCAATAAAATTGTGGATACTTGTGTATTATCTTGTCAAATGGCCAAGTAGCTGGAATTATGGATGACCACATCCTTCAAAATTCCAGAGTAATGATTGCTGATTGACGACCATTGCCAAAACTTTCGCTAGCAGTCAGCGAGTTAATACATTAGAACCATACTTACTTTCTCAATATGGTGACAACTACAGTGAAAGAAAGCATGAAAAATACCTTTAATTCATTATGAATACATTTTGAGACAGAAATAAGTGGTTTGTATTTTTTTATGTTGTTTTATAAATAGATTTTTAAACAGAGATCTTTAATTATAATTTCAAACTCGATTTCAATTTAATTTGATTTTGTATTCATAAAAAAGAGTTAAGAATTAAACTTGTTCGCATACATGTGTATTAGTCAATTAATAGTGTTTTATATATACAAGGGATGATCAAATGAAAAGGTACGAAATAACGTAAAAACATAACATTAAATATTTGCATATTCCACCATGGAAGAACGTAGCGAGACATTTCGGGATGCGATTGGAGTCTCTGACTGGGATCAGAGCATGCGCAGGCGAGTGCAGAGGCTCATATCAAAAGCGGTGTCCAAATGATGCAGCAGTTCGTATGAGGACAGGGTGGCTTTCGCGTTGCAAAATTCAACGACTGAGGAGCAGCGAGCTGTTATTCGATTTCTGACAGTGGAAGGTGAGAAACCGGCAGCTATTCATCGCCGGATGGTGACAGGTTATGGGGGAGAAATGTGTCTCTGACAAGTCTGTCTGAAAATGGAGTGCCCGTTTTCTTGCAGGCCGTGAGAGTGTGGGTGATGACCCAAGACCAGGCCAGGCAAACATTGTCATCATGAGCGATCTCATCAACAAGGTGGACGACCTAGTGAGAAGTGATCGGCGTGTCACATTGCGAATGTTGGCAGTGAAGGTGGATGTCAGCTATGGAACCGTGTGGACAATTGTTCATGACAGCTTGCGATATCAGAAGGTCTGTGCCACTTGGGTTCCGAAGCAGCTCACTGACCAACAAAAGGAACTGCATATGGGGCTAGCACTGCAACATCTGTTTTGGTATCAGGAAGACCCTGCTTTCATGGAGTGGATCGTCACAGGTGATGAGACCTAGTGCCATCACTATGAGCCAGAGACAAAGCAGGACAGCATGCAGTGAAAGCATGCGTCATCACCTTCCCCTAAAAAGGTTAAAGCCGTGCCGTCAGCAGGCAAGGTGTTGCTCACTATCTTTCGATGTTCAAGGTCTGCTACTTGTGGAATTCCTCAAGCACAGAAAAACCATTAACTCCGATGTGTACTCTGAGATACTCTGATGCCTACACAGGTCCATCAAGAACAAAAGACTGAGGCTGCTCACGGAGGGTGTGGTTCTGCTCCATGATAACGTGCGTCCACATGTCTCCAGAGTCGCACACATGGAACTGGCCAATTTCAAGTGGGAGACGTTGGACCATCTGCCCTACAGTTTGGAAATGTTACCCTGCAATTTCCATGTATTTGGTCCACTGAAGAAAAACCTGAAAGGAAAGCGCTTCAACTCGGATGACATACTCAAGGATGCTGTGAAGGACTGGGTCTCGTCACGGCCACAGGAATTCTGGGAACAAGGAATCCTGCAGCTTGTTCAACAGTGGGATCGTTGTGCTGAGGCCTATTGTGTATATTTTGAATAAAGTCTACATTTGTTTCCACTGTGTCGTTTCATACCTTTTCATTTGATCACCCCTTGTACATATTCTCAGTGTTGTAGTGAATGAATAATATCTGGTTTTAATGCAAGTTTCCTGCTGCCATAAATATCGCCTGACATATTTACTGATATTTTGTCAAATGATTTTTGGCATTTGAAAGAAAAGAGACTTGCTTTAGAACACTGTGTTGTGAAATTTGTAAAAACATATTGTTATTATTAAGTACAAGGTGTCTGAAATGGAAATATCGCACTACCAGATTAGAACCATCATTTACTTCCAGTTGTGTTGCAAAACGTCAACTATACAGAATGTCACCAGATCATGTGTATAGCTTTAGGTACTAATGTTGTATCATATGACAGTTTGAAGGTTTGGTACCAAAAGTTCAAAAACAAGGACTATGACATTCCAGAAAGAGAGTGCTCTGACCAGCCTACTCACGTTCATGAAGCCCATCTGCAAGAACTTGTGGAAGAAGATCAGTATGCAACTACTTAAAAGCTTCTTAAAGAGTTAGAAATTAGTGCCATGTCCATTAGTCGCTCTATGCATTGCATAAGCTTGATGTACAAGTTCAATCACTGGGTGCCACATGAGCTGACTCAAACAGATAATGACAGAAGTGTTTGGTCCTGCTCTAATCTGCTTAAATATCAATGCAAGAATAAAATTCTGGACCGGATCTTCACTTGTGATGAAAAGTGAATTAACTTTAAGAATGCAGGCCAAAAAAGGGGTAGGTTTGCGTCCAGTGAGCCTGTCGGCAGCATCGCAAAGTGCGATTTGACTCACGTTCGGCAAAGCGTGAACAAAAAGGTAATGCCATTGGTGGGATTGCCATTGTATTATCTACAAATAGTATCTGAAAAGAGGTAAAACTCTCTACACCAAGATCTATGGTGAGATGCTAGTTCGTGTTGATGCTGCTGTTAAGGAAAAACATAGAACTGAGTTCCATCACAAAAAGGTAATGTTCCATCAAGATAATTCAAGACCACATGTGTCTGTATTCACCGGTTAGACTCGAATGGGATCTTTTGTCACACTCACTATAGAGCCACTGACATCACTCCTTCGGACTTCTACCTTTTTTTTTACACTTGCAGCTACATTTTGCAAGTTCTATCTTCCATTCTGCACAGGACATCTGAAATGAGGTTGATCAGTTTTTGGACTCGCGGCCACCAAATTTCTGTGCCGAGGGCAATGAAAAACTACCAAAACATAGGCAGAAAATCGTAGATTTTGGTGGTTATTCCTACCAGCACTGCTTCCATGTTTTTTGTTCTAACTTTATTAAGAATGTTTTTGGCAAAAACCTTTCATTACAATCAGATATAATATAGAAGGATTTAAAAAACATTAGGTAAAAGGATTGCTAGCACATAAATAATGTTGTAATTTCTAGTTTTTATAATTTATTTGATTCATATCCATAAGTAAATGTACTGCATGTATAATAATTATGTTTTTATATTAAAGGTTATCTAGGTTTATTAAGGTATGAAGGCTTTGATACTGATGACAGTCAAGATATGTGGGTCAACCTTTGTACTGAAACACATATTCATCCTATAGGATGGTGTGCTGACAACGGAATGCCATTAGTTCCTCCAAAATGTGATTATCTTTCTTTATATAGCTCTTTTTTTGGGGGGGGCGTGTGTGTGTGTGTGTGTGTATTGTGGTTATATATCGTATTTTGTTTTTTAAAATAAGGAGATAAGATCTCTGTAAAGTAGTATCGCCATTTAACAGGTTGAAAGATTAATATGTAAAATTATTTGTTTGTAGGCATAGAAGATAAGCATACAGATTGGAAAGATTATCTTGTGAAAAGAATTTCTCGAGCTAGAACAATTCCAGCTGACTTTGCCTTCAAGGTATGATAAATGTTTTTTTTTAATTATCCAATAGCCAGATGCTTGCTCATTAAGCACTTTACAGATCCATCACTCGTACAGCTGTCTTTTCACCAAAACCATTGCTACAAAGGGCACATTATATTGCAGGCTCTGAAAGGGAGATAGTCTATTACAGACATCCATACCTTCTGTGGAGTTCAAATCCAGGCTTAGTAATATGGCAGTTGCTATGCTAACATTATATTGAGTTGGGAGCCTGTAAAACAAATAAAGGATTAGTTAACTGTGTAGATGGATAATAAATAGTTCACTGAAATTCTAGAAATCCCACACACACACATTCTCTCTTTCTGAAATAAATTTCTTCAAATTGTTGCAAAAGTTGCTAATTGAATGATTGCTTGAAGAATGCTGTAGTTACTCCTATTTATGTACAGTACAAAGTCCGAAATCCGGACTCATCGGGATTTCGTCAATTCTGGATTTGGGATTTTTCTGGATAATAGATCATCAGTTTAAATCTAGTAAGATGGCATGTAGAAATTATAAAATTAAAAATATGAAATTGTGATGTATGAAATAATGAAATATTTATGATCTAAATGTAATCTTTGAGTCTATGAGTATCATCAATAAAATCTTTTTTTAGCATATGGAAAGAAATTTTTGGTAAATTTTTCCTCGTCAACATTTTTTAGTGCAACTGAAATCTGTAATCAACGCCAAGTGTAATGTCAACATAAAAGGTTACCACAACCTTTATTATTCAAATATTAACATAAAAAATTTTTTAGGTATTGCTACATGAGTCGTTACTCAAGTTGTCATATTTTGATAAACAAGCGGTAATGAAAGGAAAGTATAATAAATAATGATTCGCCAGGTTGGCATCAGATCAACGATGTATCTATGTGGAATGTTTTGGTTTGAGATGCGTGCCAAGCAAATACAAGCAACAGAGCCAAATTACTGATCGTACAATTTATGCTAAAATGATTGTTTCTTTAATAACAAGGTATTTTATTTAGTGTCAAAATGAAATTCTGAATCGGGACTCTCCAGATGTTTTATTATGCATGGAGGGAGAAATCAAATGCGCATGCGTAAAGCCTACGAGAAAAATTTTGTTGGTGGTTTTGAGGTCCGGATTTTAGATTATTCAGGATAATGAACGTCCGGATTTTAGACTTTGTACTGTATATACAGTAGAAGTTCAGAAATTCGCAAAGCTTGGAACCAGAGGTTGTGTGGATTTTAGGATTTTGCAGATTTCAGGACAGAAAAGACAAATCATAATATTCAGACTAAAAGTGCAAAATAAATAAGGTGTATTAGATACATTTAATTAAATTATTATATACATTGTTGCAATAACTTATTATATGCAATAAATTATTATTATATATATAAATTGATTGCATTATATATACATAGGATCGAGGTTTGCCGATTTCACCTTGTACCAAGATTTCCGGTTGTGGATTCCGGTGTTAGAATCAATGTTGCTGTAAAATTTCAACAGCTTTTCTTTATTTTTCTGTATATCATACACAATTATATTGCAATTTCATACAATTCTGCTATAAACCAAGGAGTAGCACCTGTCTCCATCTTTTGCAGAATTTGCATTTTTTGCATTACTGTCAGTGCAACGTGTTTACGTTTTTCAACGTTGCAAGCAGTAAAATCATGAGTGTGTTTCTTATCTGTAATTGTATTAAAAAGGGCTGAAATTAAAAATATTCTTAATTTATCCACAAAAAATCTGGATTAAAAAAAAAAGGCAGCACTAAATAATCTCATGAAATAACAAAACTCAGAAAATACAACAACGGGAATCATGAACTTGAAAGAAGAGTTGAGTGAATTGTCTGCTTTCTTACCTCGATGCAGATTAGAGGGGAAAAAAACTGTTATCATGATGTCAATAATTTGGTATTTCTGTTATAACTCATTATTATTCGTTACTTATGACGTCATTATTCGGTAAGTATTTTTTCTTTGATATTTCGTACTAAATGTTGCGGTTTCCGGCACCTATAAAGTGAATGTTTATATTTTGAGAGGCAGCGCGGATTTCAGGAGTTGGCAGATTTCAGGTCGGCGGATGTTTGGTATTTGACTGTATTTTTAAATTTTTATTTTATTTAAACTAGCAAAACTGCTATTCACATGGTATAAAAAAAATCCCACAAAGCATAAAAATTCTGAGGGGGGAGAAATAAGTTGATGCTGAAAAGTAATGAAATAAGATATATGTATATAGATAGATAAATATGAAAACTTTCAAGTTAATAAATCTACCAATATAGCATAACACCAAAATGCAAAAATTTTTTCTGAATCTGGCAAATAGTAAAAAGTACTTTTTTTTAGTTCTTACAATTTTCTTGGTCATATGTGACTGAAAATAAAATTTATGGGAGTAAAACAATGACAGGTTTTAAATCAAAACTGTTTTTAAAAAAAATGATGAATTTAGTTATTTTACATATTTTTATTTCTGTGCTACCTTTCTCTTGATGCTTGAAATTGTGTGAGATTTCCAATATACTTCTCATATTTGCATCCCTTAATTTTGTATTTATTGAGACATCAATATAACCAAGACTTATCAGTATAACCAAGACTGTTACTACTGATAGCTAAAAAAGTAAAAACATCAATTTAATTTCAAGTATATTTAATAAAAATTGAATAATTAAAAAAGATTATATATATATGTGTGTGTGAAAGAGAGATAAAAATATGTAAATCAGCTTTATAATTTAATTTAGTAATAGTTTCTTAATTCCTCATTTTTAATTTAAGGATTTCTTCTGTGTATTCTAAAAATAGTAATAACTTTTCTGGACTGTGCAATTTCTAGATTAATCTGTTACATAGTTTGCATATTGCTGATGACATAATTCGGAACTTGAACTCAAAATTTTGAGAACTGAAAGCTTTCTAACCTAAACCAAAACTTTTTCTTGGTGAGCCTCTATACTGGATAAGTGCACACTTTTGCTTCAGCTCTCTTGCAGTCAAGATGCTATTTCACTCCTTTTGCTTTGTCGTGCTGCTAACTACGTCATTATCTAAAATGTGATGCTCTATATAAAGTTGTTGGGTGTGTATTGCACCCATGATCATTTATGATAAAAAAAATTTTTTTTTTTTTTTTTTTGATAGTTCATGTCCAGCAGAAAAATTATGTTTGATTCGGCCACATCTGCAAGTCTCTTGAGTTCTATTTCATAATTCCAATTAAGATTACTACTGTTTATTTTTATAAAAATAGTATTGAATTAACATGCATAAAAGCAAAGGTGTTGGGGGACATTTACTCAAGTATTTTGTAAATTTTACTGCATAAATTGCTTTCCGCTCAAAATTTATAAAGAATCTTGTATTAGTGAAAATGCTTCATTCAGAATGAGTTCTTTGGTACTCTACTTTGGTTATAAATCCCGTCACTTCATGGAATTACAATTTTGGCCTAACTTAATTTGCCAGTTTGGCATCATCATTCTTACTTGAGTAAAAGACGAAAAACCTTCGCATTTATTAATTATTGTTCATTGAATGGGAGTTGGTTTGTTCCCCTTGAAAAGTCAACTAATTTCCAATCAATAGATAATTAAAAATTATCTATTGATTGGATATCAATAGTAATTAAAAATTAAAAATAATTACTTGTTTTTAATTTTTAATTACTTTTTCAAAGTTTGAAATTTTGTTATTCATGATTTAAATTAAAGTTCCCGTAAAACGTGTTTTTGTTTTTTTTTTTTTTTTTTTTTTTTTCATAATTTACATACAAGTTACTTTAAAACACAATTTTCGGAATTAAACTTCTTCCTGCATTTGGGCTCCTACTTTTTTGATACTTCTACTAAATTTATATTAGGAGATAATATAATCAATATTTCTTTAGTAAATAAATTATATGTATAAATATATAAATGTAAACTTAGTCAAGAAGAAAAGACATACGATGGCAATACCTTGAACATTTTCAGTTACATAATTTTAATATCATCAAAATTTCATTATTGAATATCATTCCCAAAATTAAAAGAAAGTCTTTTTAAAGAGTCTGTTTATATCTTACAACATAAATCTCTTTACCCATATGGGCATAATTCCTATATGTATAATACAACAGTACAAAAAGACTTCACTTCTTACAGTCACTTTAAAATTTACAGTAAGAAAATGCTAAGAGGCACAAGAGGAGGTACTAATAAAAACATAAAAAACTTTTTTGTTACTTTGAATACAGAGCTTCAAAATAACTTTAACAAACTACTACAAGCTGAGCTTTACATAAAAAATATCCTTAAATTACTCCACGCTTTCAATAATGAAATTTTATGGCAAATACTTAACTACTTCCAACAACACTATACAGGTTTCCATATTATTAAAAACTTTAGTATTGACTTCTATAAATTATAGAAAAAGCTATTTCTTATTAAAAAAGCTTACTGCACTATTAACTTTAATCATCCAGTTTATGATTCACATAAAATTAATTAAAAACCTATCAACATCTGTTTCCTAATCACAACTACGAAACACTACCCTGTTTTAAATTTACAAAAGCCATGAGTTTTAAATTTACAAAAGCCATGAGTTAGTAACTAACCACCACGAACTTGAAGCCAAAGCTACTTTAATATGTAAACTACCGAATATACACCTTTTGTGGATCAGCACCATCAACATATTATAACTGGAGATTACTTATAGTAGAGGACCCAACTTTAAAACATTTGATGCAATTAGGAATAAAGTTTAGACTGGTTTGCAAAGTTAGCAAACAATTCTGCATCAACAACTTGAACGTATTCATTATTTCTACCAGCTACAAAACTAATTTGCCCACTACTGCTTTTTCAGACTGGAAAGCAGTGATTTTTAAAAACTTCAATCAGAACATTTCACTTACCAGCAAACTACAATATTACCACAATGCAAAGGAAATTTCTAATAAAATTAATCTACTGCATGAGAAATTCATTGTCACCAAAACAGACAAAGCCAGTAATAATATCAGTATTATTTGAAAAATCTTTTATTCCACATAATTGAAAAAGACTTTAATAATACTATTACTTAAAAAAAGACAAATTCTAGTGTAACTGTCATCAAAAACAAAACAGGGCATACCACCGCAGACTTAAAATTTTTGTTTCAACAGAGAACAACTGGTTTTCTAACTTTTCTAACCTCTTTGCACTGCCTAAATTTCACAAATCCTCATTAGTTCAGATGCATTGCCAATAGCACTAAGAACCACATAAAGAAAAGGCTTCAAGTTTGTTACAAAGTTTAAACATATTCTCAACTTTATCACAAATTCAGTTAATCAGGAGCACAAGTACAACTTGATTTTCAATAACTATGTTCCAGTTTTCACTGCATTTCAAGATATTGAAATTCAAAATATTAATTGCTGCGATTTCAAAAATCATCATAATTCACTCCCCTTGACCAAAATTCTCAATATTCTCTTAACACTACCTACATTTTTCCAGAGATTCTTGTGGTGGTGACACAAGGAAATTAGCCTGTTTACTTTCAAAGTGTGTTATTTCATAACTGCATACAATTTAATAATACTATTTATAAACAGATCAGCAGCATCCCTATTTTCTCAAATTCGTCTCCTGCAGTATGTAACCTATACCTCAATACTAAAGAATTTGAATTCCAAAAAGACTAAATAAAGTACAATGATTTTATTTTTCTAATGTTTTCAGATATGTTGATGACATCTTAGCAATTAATAATTCTGAAGAAATCGAAACAAATAGTATCTATCTATCTATCCTATTTGCCTAAAACTTAACAAGAGGAACTTTCAACAAGAAAATATCAATTACTTAGATTTACATATTTCAATGACAATAACTCAAAATCTATGACAAAAGAAGAGAATTTAATTTCAATACCATTAAACTAACTACATGACATTCTAACAACTTAAATACAGTAATACTTAATACTATTCACATTCAACTGATTAGAATAAAAAGTGTTTGCAATGATATTAATTTTTTTTCAATTCAATTTTTTTGTCAAGTTCAATTATTAATGAATCTTCTTACAGGAAATAGAATTACTGAATTCAAAATTTGCCTAACGTTTAAAAAAGCAGGCATTAACTATACTTTTTAAATTACATGTTTATAGCACTATGTTCATTTTACCTTTAATTGAGAGGGGAGAAAAAGGATGACTTTTACAAGTAATTTAATGTTAATATGTAATTAATCTCTCTATACAATATGTGTGTATGTTCTCTTATTTTCATTAAAAAAAAAACTAGCACCTTTCCTTTTATTAACAAAAGAGCCATTTCTTTTTAAAGATGTGTTACAGCTCATTTACATGAAGATTTATATTTTTACTAGCTGTTTTTTCATTATTTACTTAGCTTTTGACAGATTTAGTTTAAAACCAAAATTTTCACTCTAAAAATGAGTAGCCATTTTTTTATTCAAAACAGCCTTCTTAAGTTTTATCACATGTTTCTCTGCTTGCGTTGAACAGTGCGCCACGACTGGATCACAGTTTTTCTGCTAAGTGCTCGCCAAATACACAACCTTGAAAGAACACCATCCCCTTTAGTTTAACATACCCAATTACTTGTTTCCAGCCTCCTTTTCGATGTTTGAAAATGCTTCAAAATTTTGAGAACTCTGATCCCAGAAGTTTAAACTGAAGAATTTGACAGTGTGTCCTTTCATGTACATTTGAATTAGAGAACTGAATGCCATTCTTTAGAAGAGGTTTTACAGACTACATTAGGAAGTTTTAATTTAATATTTCTATAATTGTGTTGTTCTTCAATAAGCATGCTTAGTTTAAAATTTCCAGCTCAAAATTTCCAGCCGAAAATATGAAATCTTAATCATAAAATGATTAAGATTTCATATTTTCGGCTGTAAAGGTTTTTAAGAGATAAAAGTTTAGACTTTCACATTGACAAGTCAGCTCTTTTTTTATTGTAAGTTTGACTACTAGGATAATTTCATAATTTAAATAAAGAATGCTTTCAAAAGTATTTGTGCACAGTTTTTCTAGTTTTTCTTTCAGTTTGCTATGATTTTGCATTTAGCATTTTCACAATTAAATTAGTTATTTTTTTTAGCTTTTTATTCAAAGAATGAGGGGCAGCATGTAGGGATAATTCTTTGACATTATAAGACGATTTGAAAAATAATTTTACAAACAAGAAAATTAATTTACAATTCAAGTCTAAGCTTTGTTCAAGCAGAGCTAGACTTACGGGCAGAAATTCTTATAACATGCCTTAGCAACATTTAGCAATTTATCCTCAATTTGGATATGTTCTGAAAGTTGCCATAAAAAATACTTTTGAGGCTGTAAAAGCTGCATTTTTAAAGTCCTTAAAGCAATTTTTTTTGGAAGGTTTCAGAAATGCTTCTGCTTACTTTTAATCTTATAAACAGAAAGTTGTTTGCAGCAGTCAGTCAGTTGGATCAAGACTCTTGATCTGTTTCGTACAAGTGAGCTTCTGCTCAATGATTATTCCTTTAATTTGTGAGAGTGATTTTTGTGATATGTGATACTCCTCATATATTAAGGAGAATTTTGGCTCATCTCTTTTTTTCTCCTTCAGCTAATAGCTGTTTAGTGTGCATGAAAGAATTGATATTTGTCTTATTAATTTTTCTTTTTCATTTGGCTGAGTTATTTAAAAAGTCGGCATCAGTAATGATTCTTTATTCCATATAGGTTCGATTCTGATGTATAGGAAATTGATTTCAAAAGCATAATGTTTCTTTATACGTAATAATCATCCTATTCTGTTTTCATTTTATTTCTGCACATGAAGAAGTCTGAAATAAATAATTGCTTTACTTTAAACTTTTTTAGATTGAGGAACACAAACATAATATTATTAAAAAAGGAATGAAACTTGAAGTTGTAGATAAAAACCTGATTTCGGCTGTACGTGTAGCAACTGTCAGTGAAGTGATAGGAGGACGTCTTCATATAAAATATGAAGAATCAGAACAAGAGGATGAAGGTTTCTGGTGTCATGAGCGATCACCTTTGATTCATCCAGTTGGATGGGCTCAAATAATAGGTCATGCTTTAAAAGGAAAACCAGGTAATTAATTTTATGTCTAATGTTTATATGTTGTGAAATTTCATGTGTAGATTTTATTACACATTTATTTTTAAATTCAACGAAAATTTGGATACTTGAAAAAATTTAATAAATATCTGGTTGTAACGAAAGTTTTCTACCAAAAAACGTTCTTAATAAAGTTAGAAAAAAAAAAAAGCAGTACCTTTAGTGCTGGTAGTAATCACGAACGAAATGTATGATTTTCTGCCAACATTTTGGTAATTTTTCAAAGCCTTCGGCCCAGAAGATTGGTGGCTGCAAATTCAAAAACAGATCAACCTCATTTTGGACATCCTATGCATAACGGAAGGTCAGGGCTATATGATGGGTATGACAAAAGATCCCATGCAAGTCCATGCAGAGTCCAGCCGGTGAATGCAGACGCATGTTATCTTCTATTATCTTAATGGAACATAACCTTTTTTCACCTGAACTCATTTCAGAATTTTTCCATGATAGCAGCATCAACACAGACTAACATATCCCATACACCTTATTGTGGAGGGTTTTACCTTTTTCCAGGTACTCTTTGTAGATAATACCACAGCCATCCCACCAGATACAAAGCATGATCTTTTCATTAATGAAATTTTGGTGATAGAAAGCATGATCTTTTCATTAATGAAATTTTAGTGATAAAAAGCATGATCTTTTTGTTAATGAAATTTTGCTTTGCGATGCTGCTAATGGATTTACCGGGCGCAGACCAACCTCCTTTTCGGCCTAAGTTGTTGAAGTTAATCCCTTTTTCATCACAAGTAATGATCCAGTTCAGAATTTTGTCCTTGCATTAATGGTCAAACAGATTAGTGCAGGCCCAAACATGTCTGTCCTCATCTGCTTGAGTCAGCTCATTCAGCACCCAGCGATTGAACTTGTATGTCAAATTTATGTGATGCATAAAGCGACTAATGGACATGGCACTAACGTCTAACTCCTTAGGAAGCACTCAAGTAGTTGCATACTGATCATCTGCCACAAGGGTACTCTTTTATTATCGGGACCAGATTCAGAAAATTATGTATGTATGTATGTGCGTATATATATGTGTGTATACACACACATACATACAAACCTACATTTCTAAATCCGGTCCCAATAACCGAAGAGTACCTCCACAAGCTCTCACATGCGGGCTTCATCAACATCAGTAGGCTGGCCAGAGCTCTGTACTTCTTGAGCGTCGTAGTCCTTGTGTTTAAGCTTTTGGTACCAAACCTTCACAGTGCCATATGATATAACATTAGCCCGTAAAGCTATACAGATGATATGGTGACATTCTGTAGCTGACTTTTTGCAACAGAACTGTTATCACTGAAACTTCCATTTCAGACACCTTGTACTTAATGATAAGGATATTTTGTACAAATTTCACAATGCAGTGCTTTAAAGCAAGTCTCTTTCTTTTAAATGCCAAAAAGATTAAGTACGGCAACGCGAACTGTTTGCATAGACGATATTTGCGGTGGCAAAAAACTTCCATTAAAACCCGATATGTAGCATTTAGCAATAAAATAATTCATAAGTGTGTAATAACTGTAAACATTTAAAAACTAAGGCTCTACTCTTATATACTCTATAAGATCACCAAATGTGGCGATATGTGTTCTGCGCTGGTTTTTGGCATGATTCCGTACTGTGGGATGGTTTGGTGGACGGTGCTGTTTGTATGGCAACCCTTTTGATGTTGAAACTTAACTTTTTTGCTGCAGTGTCTTGCATGTTTTGAAATGGCCTATGTTGCAGTGATAGACATGGTGGGAAGGTTTCAGTCGCGTATGGAAAGTAAATTTCGTATTAAAAGGTACAATGTTGGAGTTGTTTACGGGTGTGTTTATGAGGATCGAAGTGTAGTTTTGGAATTTCTGTGGTACTTTTAAAACAGAGTGTGAAACGGAGTTGCTATGAGAACTCGGACGAAGAAAGGTGTTTCTGATAGTTCTTGTGTGGATTTGCAGTTAAATGCTTGCTGGTAAAGTATGTGAGTTTAAGATTAAAGTAGTAAGTAGTAAGTGAGTTTAAGATTTGGATCGTGGTTTAACTTTGGAGGAAGTTTTTATCATTACTTTCAAAATTTTGAATCACAGAAAGACATGTGATGTAGCAAAATGGTGGCACTTTCGTTCACAGACGTTGTGTGACTGACTGGCGAAATTTTATTTACGAATGTATTATGGTAAGTGCATTTTATTTTACTGTTTTTATTTTGTAGAATGTTCATTGTTTTTTTACTATGAATTTCTGTTCTTATTGTTGTTTTTTAATTGTTTGTAATTTTAGTTATTTAAGTTTATTTTGTTGATTTGTGCGCAATGCTAGATTGTGCAATTTGGAGATTTTTTTTAAGTTTAAACAGGATGCTGTATATATGGTATTCTTTGAAATTTATTGTTGTTATGTTAATTTATTAAAGCAAGGTGTGCATAGTTCATAGATTCTTTCGCTGCCTAGATTGTGCAATTTGTAGATGTTTTTCTTTTTCTTTTCTTTTTTTTTTTTTTTTTTTGGAAACTGAACGAAAGTTGAAACAGAACACTGCGTACATGGTATTCTTTGAAATTTATTGTTGTTATGTTAGTTTATTAAAGTGAGGTGTAAGTCGTTCGTAGATTCGTTCGTTGCCTAAATTGTCCAATTCGTAGATGTTTTTTTAAGTTAAAACATATCGCTGTGTACATGGATTCTTGTCAAATATTTTTGGTTAGAAACTTTACGTTTTTGCTATCTAAATTTTTTGTTTTGGATTTTTAGTTTAAATTGTGTGTTCAAAACGTGGTTTTTTGCATGTGTGAAAACCACGTTTTGGGAGACATTTTAGGCTTAAAGTTCGAAATGTAGACAAAAAATTTAGATAGTAATATGGCAGCGTGGAGTTTCTCGCCAGAAATGTTTCGCGAGAAATTTGGCGACTTGAGGACGCATATAAGAGTAGTTCCAAAACTAATTTACTAATGCATAAATTCTGTTTGTTGTAAATATTTTAAAGTAAAACATTATGAGGAATTTCATATTTATGCAAAAACTGGTGATAGTTATTAAATACTTCCAAATAAAAAAGAAAAATTAACTTAATAAGGCTTGTTTTCCTGCACTAAATAATGATTATTTTTAAAAATATAGTAAAAAAATATCTGTATCTATAACAATAATGATTTTAATGACTATAAACACTATCAAAAATAAAGCTGAAAAGTTAAGATCATATAATTAAATTTTATCTTGGCATTATACAGAATTTTCTTTAAAAATTATTCATTAATTTTTAACACCTAATTAATACAGGGGATAAAATGTCAGATTCTATTCTTTGTACTGTTATGCAACATTCCTATTGCTATTCATCCAGCTCTGTTTCTCTTCTCTTTTTATCATTTTCCACTACATCAGTTTTATTGTGACTTTTGATCTTTTCTACTAGCAGGTCTATGTCAGTGTTACTCTAGATTCTTGTGTACCATCATTCTAAATGCATATCTTGTCCATGTCTTATTTTAATTTCTTTAGCTATCAGTGAAGCAGAAGTGTTTGTTTTAATATAAGAAACATCTTGAGTCATGTTTTTCCAAAATAATGAAATATTGTGTTATGCTGCATTAATACTAACAAAGTACTTATCATCCATAGTCTGCTACTGCAACAACAATGCACTACCCTATATTGATGACTTAAAGCTCATAGTCAACCAGAAACCATTAGCCGTAGTGGTCATTGATGATCATGCAATTGTACGTTTAACAATCCCCTTTACTTTAGTTTTAACGGTTTATCTAAATTTGTGTTGCTATATATCAATGACCTTATGTATTTATGCTAATAAACAGAGTCACCAGTAATAACTTTGCTTCATTTTTTGTTTCCAATGGTCGGCACTTGCCTATAGCATTGGCCACTCCTAAGGCTAGAAGTGGCTATTTTATTGTGGAAGCACATAATAGGTGGCCATCGTTGCCTCCTATGAAGGGATAGACATTGTTGCATGCATGCCTTCTCGGGGATTCAATTCTGGGCCCTTCGGTATCACAATCAGGCTCCCCTAACCACCATACCGTCTGGGCGGCACTTTTTTTTTTTTTTATTTATCAAATTTGTTCTAGCACATTATACTAGTAACCATTTGATAGCATAGTTAAATCTAGGCTTTTGGTAATTTATGCCTCATTTTGAACATTTCTAACTCACTAAAATTTTTCATAGTACTTGCAACTGCCATTACCTGGGTAGATAAAACTTAAACTGGTAAGTTCATCTATATCCCAAATTTGATTTTTAGTAGTTCACACTTCCGATTTTTTTGTTGATGCTGCTTGTAAAGTCCTTTAGAAGGTCTTTCATGAAGGCTTCTTTCCGAAGGCAAATTGACAGTTAGTTAATAATCTTAAGGCTCTGTGCTTAGGATTATTAATTAACTGTCAATCTATGGTATCTTTTATAGTTAACTTAAACAATTAAATAAACTGTTAATTTATCATTTCTTGTTCATTTATTTTTAATTTTTCTAAAAATTTGATATTTAATTAAATTTATCTATCTACAAATCATAGTAATATCAGGTAACCAAGAAAGCTCATACAATTTTCATCACTCATCAAAAATATCCCAAGAAAGTCTTAAACATATATTTCATTCTTTGAAATAATCACCATTGGCTTCAGTTACATGTTCCCAATCAGATACTAGCTTATAAATGCCCTTGTTGAAAAAGTCCTTTTTTGTGGAGTCCAAAAATTGTGATACAGCTTTTGTATCACAATTTTTGGTTTTGGAACTGCTGTTCCCACAGGTCCATCCATGGTCCATATTCATGGCCAAAAATAGGTAATAGTCAGATAGGGCCATGTCCAGGGAATATGATGGCTGAGGCAGAACTTCCCAGCCCAGTGTTTTGATCACCTCTTTGGTCACTTTTGCCGTATTAGGTCTGGCTTTATCGTGGAGGAGGATAACTCTTTTGTTGGCCAGCTTCTGGTGCAGTACAGCTACTCTTTGCGGTTTTAACGAACAGATCTAGGCTGTTATGGTTTTTCCGCTTTCTCATTTTTTATAGTGGAATCTGCCAGCGCTGGTCCACCAAACACACAGCGTTAGGTTCTCTAAATGAATGTCCGGTTTAGCAGCCAATGAGACTGAACCAGAAGTTGACCAATGATGTTTCCTCTTCTGGTTATCATACGTGATCCATTTTTCATCGTATCTCAAGATTTGGTCCAGAAATGGGCCTTTATTATGGTATGACAGCAGAGACAAACAGATGTTCAACCATTGAAGCTTTTTCTGCTTGGACAGGACGTGAAAAAACGACTTGCTAAATTTTCATGTCATCCCATGTCATGAAGATATGATCACATTGTTTCATAAGATATTCCAAACCTATGTGCAAGCTCCTAGCAGGTTTGATGAGGATTCTGCTTTATTTCCTCCTCCAGCTGAATTTTCACGCATGATTAACTCCAGCCTGCATGGATGACTAACATGAGGCTTGTCTTCAAGGCTTTCATCTCTGGAAAAAAATAAGCTGAACCACTTTTGAGCAGTCCATTCACTCACTACTGTCTCTCCAGACATGGAGCTTGTTTTTCTAGCAGCTCCTGCAGTTTTGTTTCCTAGGAAATGTGCGATGCACTGAACAGCTGTCCAGTGAAAAAGGTTTGAAAGGAGTGTAAACATTTCATGTCATCAGAATCAATTTGACCACACTAACATGCTAAAAATAACTGTTCTAAAATCTGCATGAACTTTCCTGGTTACTAGTAGATGGTGCATGCTTAATCTCTTGAGCACATATTTGATTTCAAAATGTTTGTTGTGTCAACCATAAGAGTGGTAAGAAGTCCACTAATATATTTAATCTGCAGTTTACATTGCATTTAGGCATAACTCTTATTGCACATGACCAGATCAAATTTGGTTTTATTTTTGAATTTCAATAGTTTCTTGCATGCTAAATTTTTGTGTTGCTTGCAGTTTGTGTCAGCTGGCTTTAAAAGAAAATGGAATTACTTTTCACGGGTAGTTATTTTGAACAATGGTGTCATTGAATATATTTTAAAAAATTGTTAATGAATTCTACATTCTGAATATAATATGAAATATTATATTGGATATATTAAAATTTGAAATGGATTCACATATGTAAAATTAGTAAATCAAAATAAATATATTTCACAATTAGTGGATTTTTAACTACAATTTTGCTAAAATCATATTTTTTTAATATACTCTATTTATATGGAATAAGATTACTTGTGTATATCTGATTATTCATACCCGGTCAACCATTGAGTAAATTACTATTTTATATTTAATTATAAATATATTTCTATATTTTTAGTATCCTTTTGAGTATACACATTGTGATAGTCAAATATGTATTCACGAATATTTGGATTTATGTGCTTCATAATTAACCGTCATTTTGCCAAACAAGTATACACCATCTGTAAAAAATCTACATATTAGCTATACAAAGATTTTTATTTCACTTCTAAAATTTAATGTTTTATGTAAAATTATTATTTTTATGGCTAGAACAGTACTTTTTTACCAAAAAATGTTTTTTACCAATTTACAAAGTAACTGATCATTTATCATTTTCATTTACATCAGAGAGCACCAGTTTCTCACATATTGAGACAGTTTTTTAGTATAGTATTTATTAAATTAGCAGTATTATATGTCCTTTACATGTTTTTGGTTATTTTAAAAATTCAGCATACAAATAGGCCTTTAAGAAAAAACTCATGCTGTCATTAATCTCATATTTAAAACAGAAATATATATTCTGAACATAAAAGTAATAGCTTTGATAATTTGTGATTGTGTTTTTTGACATTCCCATGGCTGTTCTTTCTGACTGAAAGCAAATTTTAATTGCACAATTTATTGTTATTGTTATTGTTATATACTATATGGTTTAATCAGTACTTTTCAAAGAACCATACATTTGCTATATTTACTTTCGTAGTTCATGCACCTGAATTTTTATTATGAAATTGCAAATATTCTGAAGAGTTTGCATCATGAATCGGCAAGCATTGTTATGCTTTAACATAAAGTATCATTTATATCAAAAATATATTTTGTCCACATTGACATTATGTATCCAAATGAACATAAACTAGTTATGGACTACAGATATAAATATAATATTTTGTGTTAGAAATATATTGCATGACATTGACAGCTTGGGATTTTTTTCTAACAGCGTAGAAGTTAGAATAAAAACTGAAAATTCTCTATAATTTTTTGTACTAGTTGAGGTACGGTAAAAAAAAGTACAGATCATGCAATAAATCTTAATATGAAGTTCAATTTTTATTGATTATAATAAAACATAATTCTCAATTAAAGTAAGATGAGTAACTCTTGGTTGCTCTCAATTTTTCAAATCTAAAAAGTCATTTCATTAAACTATTAAAAAATTGTAATTCCACCAAACTTTTATTTTATGTTGTAAGAATCAGTTATTTATTAGAGTTTCTTATGAAAATAAAATGTTTTCTAGATCTGCTAGCTGGATTTCTGTAAACAACATTGTCATTGATTTTTGTAGTGAAGATTTTTATCATTCACATAGCTATACTTTTGTTTATTTTATTTTTGTTTCAAGGATAAACTAATATCTCAATTATTAAAAGTAAATATTAGAGTTTGTTCTGCTGTATTAAAACATGAGAGCAATATACCAATTAATTTATTCCCTATATTTGTGGAGTAATTCTTGACTGGGGTAATTCACTGTCACAAAGAGGGTTACTCTTTTTACAACATTTATGATGCATATTTATTTTATAAGCTTGCAATCTAAAAAATCTTATCCTACCGGATCACTGAAGTATTTTGAAGTTATTGCAAAGTAACTTTCTTAATTTAATGTTAAATTTCCTAATTATAAATTTATGACTTATCTTAAACCTTATGTTCTGAAGAGCAAGAACTATGTATTTATGTATCAGTTTCAACCTTTAACTTCATCATTCTGATTTTTTGAAATTGTTTAATTTCTTTTGTAGACATTAAATTTTTAATAGTTTTTTTTAATTTTCTTTGTTGATATATAAATTTTGCTTTCAAAACTAATATTTCTTTCATGTTTGAAACCAGAGTATGCTAGACTGTCCCTCCGCAAAACTCTGTATCGAACTTTTGATCCCAGTGATGCAACATGGGATATGTTTTTGCCAGTAAGTAAAATTTTATTGTATTATTTTTATTTTATTATTTTTTTGATATTTTTGCTGCCATCAAGATAACCAGATTGGTACTTGCATATTAACTGACACCATTTGGCTCTATTTGTAACAATAGGGTTTGTTAGTCTAATTTTCAACAATGATATTGAACCATAAACGTTTCAACATGATATTCAGTCATCAACTCAGTATTCAAACATCAACTTTTAATGTTCTTCTCTGTCCATTTCCTACTGTGTTATAAAGTTTGATATGTTTTGCAATCATCCAAATAGTGTCCAAACTCTTGGTATACATTTAGCAAATTATTGCTAAATCTAAAATACCATCTGAAAGTAGAGAAGGGTGTAAAAGACCCTTTTATTTAAAACTAAGGAGAACAAAGGGCACATTTAGTGCTTACAAATAAGACTAGATACTATGTAACTTTAGAATAATAGTCAGCCAAATGTAAAATTTAAATTAAATAAGTTAGTAGCCAAAGGCTACACAAATCAGTTTAATGCAAAGTTCGCTCATTTATGTAACCAGCATGGAGATTCAATATTGGTGATTATAATGCAGAGCCGAAGACTACAAATCTTGTCTGATCTAGCAATTTAGTAACGTGGCCTTAAATATAAAGCCTCACTATTGATTTGCATTCTGTTGGCAAAAATGGAAAGGAGACATGAGAGTAAAGATCCAAAACATAAAATAAACTGCTTAATTAGCATAAAGGAACCTTACAATGTTTTTACCAAAAAGACGGTGTACTATTTTAGTTCATTGAAAGCTGTTAAATTTAGGGATGAAGTATTGAGACCCTACAAATAGTGATATACAATATTCGAAAGCTCAAATCTGTGCTTTATTTGTGTTTAAAAGTCTTTTATATTTATATGTTAAAAAAGAAATTGTATGTTTTACCTGTAAACTTTGTAAGAATTAATTATATTAACATCCTATAAAAGCATTTATTAAAAAAGAACTGGAGTGAATTCATTATTCCAAGTTTAATTTTTATATATGTTAGTACTTGTAGTTATACTTTCTCCTGTATACTTGCTTTTGTTTATTTAAAAAATTCTGAAAATATGTTATAAATTTGTACTGTTACTCATATTGTTTGCAAATTATGTTGAGGAAATAAACCTTGGAATTAAAATTTTTAATTATGTACTTCATTTATGAGATTTCATTTGTATGCTTTCAATAAACATAGGTCTGTTTTTAGAAACTGTGTACACTAGTACACTATTAAATGGAGATTTTAAATTTGGTTTTCATTGAAAATTGTGATACTAAATATGTTTTTAATGAAAGATTTTAAAAATTCAAGAACTTTTTTGGAGTTTGAATTCTAGAAAATTCAAGATTCATTCCATCTCTGTTTAAAATGTATTAGACATGTTAATTAACTTGTGATTAAAAAAAAAAAAAAAAAAGATACGAAACTTAGACCATGAGGATCCTTTGAGACTGAAATGAACACTATGAAGTCTAATTCAAATACTTATTTCTCTTACTTTTTAATTAGCTTTACAGTACCACTTTTCATGCTGTTACATTCCTTTTCTTCAGCCTTTTATATTTTTAACAGCACATTTTTCAAATATTCTGTACCATTTGTGTAATGGTTCTTCTATATGTCATGTAGGTTTTGCATTGCTATTTAGACTATCTTGATTTGAAGTACAAATGTTTCCGCTAGTGTTGCTCTGAGTCTGCATGTACTTTTAGGTTTATTTAACATATTTGAGACTTCAGATAGCTTAGAGAAAGTTAGTTACATATGGACAGATCTAAAGAATGTAGTGGGCATGGAATGTCTCCTCCTTTACAAATCTCATGATCAAGATACTTCTATAGATGTATTCTTTGGCAGTGCTTGAAGGTGTTGTATCTTACTAAAAATGCAGCGTTTCAAGATTTAGCCTATGACATCTAAAAGCTAATGTGTGTCAAAAAATGCTGAAATATAATGAAAATGTGTTGTTCAAAAAATGAGATTCTGGAGAGAAAAATGGCCCTTTTATATATTTATAATGTTATTGTTTTTCCTAATGATTTGTTAAAGTGCAAAAAATACAAATATATTTTAGTTACTTTCATATGATTCATGGTATTAGTTTTAGCCTGAATTGGCAGATTTCCTGGGCTCATCCTATTTATTTTTAAACTGACGTATTTTGAATTTTATATGTTATTAAATGAGGTTGATAGTAATTCCTAATATTGCGTAGCAGTATCATTTACTTTTAAAATATATTTGATATCAATAAGGATCTGAATTTTTAATATTTATAAGCATTAAACTGACCTTTATTCCTCTTATAGGTTTTCAATCCTGTAAAGAACTTGAAATTTAAAGAAGGAATGAAATTAGAAGCTATTGATCCATTAAATCTTTCCACAATTTGTGTGGCAACTGTGACTGAAGTATTAAGGAACAACTACCTAATGATAGGCATTGATGGCATGATGGCAGCTAATGGTTCTGATTGTTTCTGCTATCACGCATCTTCTCCCTGTATATTTCCTGTTGGTTTTTGTGAGTCCAATGGAATAACACTAATGCCTCCAAGAGGTAAGTACCCTACACTTAATATCATGTTTTAACGGAAGTTTCCTGCCACTGTTAATATCATCTGCACAAACTTTTCCATTGCCATGTTTAATCATGTTTGGTCAAATGATTTTTTGCATTTGAAAGAGACTTGCTTTAGAACACTGTGTTGTGAAATTTGTAAAAAAAAAAATATATATAATTAAGTACAATATGTCTGAAATGGAACTATCATGCTACCTGATTAGAACCATGATTTACTCCCAGTTCTGTTGCAGAAAGTCAGCGACAGATTGTCACCAAATCATGTATACAGTTTTAGGTACTAATGCTGTATCAATGACACTGTGAAAGTTTGGTACCGTAAGTTCAAAAACAAGGACTATGACATTTGAGAATCAGAGCACTGTGGTAGGCCTACTGATGTTGATGATGCACCTGCAAGACCTTGTAGAAGAAGTTGTGGAACCATTCAAGAGTTAAGGCATTAGATGTTAGTGCCATCTGGTGAACCTCTTCACCAGAAATAAATTTTGTTCTTCTCATTACCTCTTTGAGTGTTCCAAATACATAGTAATCATTTAGGGCAAGATCTGGTGAGTTTGGCTAATGTGGAAAATTATCAGAGTGAAAGTCAGTGATGATTTCAGTTGTTCAAGCAATATGAGGTTGAACATTGTCAAGATGACACCTGTAGTCAAACCTCCACATTGTTTTGATCTGATTGCAAGCTGAAGATGATTTTTCAGCATATTGGAATATGATGTACTGCTGATGGTGGTTAGTGTTTCAAAATAACATCTCATTCATCCAAAAACAGAGTCAGCATAACCTTTCCTGCAAATGGCTGCATCCAGAACTTTGTGAGTTTGGATGATGAGGTGCCATTCCTTGCTTGCTGTCTTGGTTTGGGGTTGGTGGTAGTTTCATCCTCTGTAACAATTCTTGCAAGGAAGCCATCACCTCCTACTTCAAAGTGCCGTAAAAATTCTTCACAGGTATCAATGCATTACTTTTTCAGTTCTGGAGTGAGATGCTGTGGCACCCACCATGCAGACACTTTGTGAAACTTAATACGTCATGAATAATGTGATGTGCCATGACTAATGTTCAAATTTGCAGCTATTTCAGGAGATACCGATGTCACAACATTGTGTGCCTGACCTGGGCAGGCAGCATCTGCCTCAGAAGTCACACCGTTTCTGAACTTCTTATTTCACTTGCTGTAGTAATAAACATGCCTTATATAACTTACTTAACATTCATTAACTATCAATTAAAATAATTTATTAAAATTTAAATTGGTGAGAGAGCTGTATCTTCACTTTTTATGATGCAATCCTTCTAATATAATAAATCACATTGAGCAGTGCATTTTTATAATTCTTAGTGAGTTATCACTATGTCTAAAATAGCATGAAAAGATTTATAAAGGTTTAAATAGCTGTTTTATTAAACTAAAATTTAACAAAACCAGGCACCGCATATGCTACAGATAATCACCACTTGTGGCAATGCAAATTAAATAGCAACAGTCAAATAAATGTAAATATTGATTCATTAGTCTTATAATACACAGTTTAATAACGAAGTTGCAAGCTCAAATAATTTATTGGCATGAAAGTTTAAAGTATCGGCTGAAAAAGTAAGCATATTCAAGATAATTACACTTAGTTAGAGCTGGCAGAATTCTAATTGTGCTTCATAAGTATCAGAAACTTTCTTTCAAGATCCAAACCCTCGACTTAAATACACTACAACCTAATTTGCATTGGTGGTGTGTAATATGGGAGGAAGAAGTTTTAAAGATCAAATTTATAATAGCTGGTTAGTTTAACATATGAACACTGCAATTTAATAACAATTAGTCAAATTGATTATAATAAATATATTATTTATATGTCTGTGAAAATTAGGTACTTCTTGATTATCTGTACTCCACTAGACATAATATTTTGTTCAATGACTAAGTTCTATTGTTCAAGTCCTGTAACTCTTGTGTCAAGGATTTCCACTAAATTGTCAGTCAAAATATTATCTTCTCAACAATTCTGTGTCTCTTTTTTCGCCATTGGTAGCAACATTTTCTGGATTTAGAGCTATATTATAGATTTTGCTGCCGTCTCTTAGTTCCTTGATAATTGAGGCATTGGGATTGCAATGGAATGCTTATTTTATATCACCTTCATTTATTCCCACTTTTCTACATTCATCACAAATTCCATTAATTTGAATCCCCCCCCCCGATATAAGCTTTTTTTTTTTAAATCTTCAAGATTGTGACTATAATAATAAAGCTTAGTAGCTAGCATCCATTATACATTATTCATGGTGAATCATAAGATTGGCAACTAAAGACATGTTGTTCTTATGAATTTTGTCTTGCTTCTATTGTTTGTTGATGGAATCAAGCCTGAATTATATTAGTTTAGTTATTTATTACATTAACATCTATTTTCCGAATAAGTTTAAAACTTATCTGTGTCCCTAATAAATAAATTCTCGCATACACTAAAGGCTTATCAGGACAGAAAATCCGTTATTGTTAATTCAGACAGCACTAAATATAATTTTTTCGCCTTTGAATATCATTTACAAATTCTGTTTTTTGCATGTAGTAAGAAATTTTGGTTAAATTTCTCCTCATCCACAACACTCAAAACTTCACTCAGTTGACTGAAGTCTGTAATCATTGCCTAGCATAATTAAGCTGCATGAGTTGATAGTATGTGGCAATGAAAGCAAAAAGTAATAAAAAATTATTTGCTTGGTTGATGTCAGGATAATAAGTTTATCAGGTTCAATGTTTCTTCTAATCTTCTTCGGAAACATACAAGGACCTGACTAGGAACAGAGAGCTTACTAAAGCTATGTTCACTAATTGTAGTAAGTAGACAGGATACAGACGAAGGGTATACAAAACCCTTTATTTTTCTTTATATACAATGACTTCCGTACTTCGCAATACAATGACCCTCCACTCGGGGTCTAACGTAAAAGATATTAAAATAAAACTAAACTCAAATTTAACTTTAGAATAATACACGTGTAAGATTGGCCTTATAATAACAGGAAGCGTATGTAGCACAGAGACTGTGAACACTACAATACGTTTAATTTATCAAGAGGATAAAACCTCTGGCCTGGAAGGCAAAATCAGCAACTGCGTAACTTCTAAGGTAAGCGGCCTGCTTCGAACTCACTGCTTCCTCTCTCATTCTTGGCAAAAAGGCCACACTTAAATACTTGGCGTTCGCCAGACAACTTTGCATAAACTCCTTCACGCTTATAATTCTGGCCGGAAGTAGAAAATAAGAAGTGATAGTAAAGATTTAAAATAAAATAAACGTTAGTAAAACTTAAGATCCTTACATACTTCCCGCCAGAGTTAATTTGTTTGAAACTGAGGTCTAAAACGACCTTGTTGAAAACTTTTAGCTCTAAAAACTAACGCGAGGCCAACCTTTTACAATCATAAAACTTAGCTAGAAACTAGAAAATTTAAAGAAAGAAATTTGTTACAATAGCAGCTCCCGGGATATACACAATCTTTTTTTTTTTCATCTGTACTGCATCTAAACAGGAGCTTTATTCAATTCTGGTTCCTTCCAGAGATCTGGAAGGAAAACTAGTTTAATGAAATGTTACAGAATGACATTGCAAATAACATATAGAATATACTTCTCTTAACATTCTTATTTCATTCATGACTATTTTAATTATCTCTCCCCGTGCTCTCTGACATGTGTTGTAAAAGAACACCAAACATGAATGTGTTTCTGTCTACGTGTGCCACACTTCCTCCTACAATCAAAACACTAACGTGTTAAAATTCAACACACGAGACCTCTTAACACACCCTACTTTTCAACTCTAAACCCTGAGGTACTATTCTAAAAGTGGCTAACTCTAAAGTGTAGCGTCAGAGAGCCTAACTACATCATTCAACCTTTACCACATATTTGCCATGATTTAATCTTTACAGTCACACGAATAACAAATTTTTAACATTACTTTCACTTTTACCATATCACGGTATTTCTTAACATTTAAAATAAAACAGTTCACATGTATATAAGAACATACAACATGCCGTTAATTTTACACATTTGAAAACATACATTAGTAGTACATTGTTAACTTCTATTCTTTGTCAAAGCAAGTGCCAATTCTTTCTACATGAAATAATACTACATTTTCAAAAAGTCTTTCGACTAAAACTTCTCTCTTGCTAAAATGTTTTAAATAAAATTTATACATAACTTTTTTTAATATTTAAGTTCTTACACAACGTATTATACATCATTTTTAGTTTTTACGCGCGAGTAATTGAAAAACATAATAAGAAAATCGGTCACAACTCATTTCTCGCCTTTCGGCGACAAAGGTAGACCTCGCATGAGGTAAAACTTCTTGAAATCTCCCACTTGCAGTAAGGAATGAAAGATTAACTCAAGTTTGCAAATAACATAAAATTTATTATCTTTTGTAATATTCAGACATCCTTTTTGGGCCCAGTCTTTAAAGGTATAGCAGATAGTAGCTTGGTTGATCCTCCTTCTTGTACGGGCTCGCCCTTCAGTGCTTCCTCTGGAAGCTTCCGTTTTTCACCAGTACGGCCACCCTTGAACATCTTCCTTTTGTCCTCTGCTGTGTGGTCTTGGCCGTTTGAAGGCACTGGTCTTGGTGGACCGGGAAACTTTGTCGTGATCCTGCTTGGACCTCGTTGTTGGCCGTTCAAATTTTTCTTGTACTTTTTTCCTCCGCCGCTGATGGCCCTTCCGCAGTTCGGCGACCTTTGCTGCGGAGAGTTCTGTCGATGAGTCAATCTTCCGTTTCAAGCCGGGTTATAGTGCCGTCATTTCTCCTGGTCCTTCACATACGTCGTCCTTCTCCCCTTCTTCATTCTGGGGGGTTTGTGAACTCTGTTTTCTGGACGGTGGAAACGGCTTCTTTTTCTTTTTACCTTCAATTTTTCCGCGGGGCAATTTTCTTTTCATTGCTTCTGTCTTCATTGAATT